CTGTCGGCGACTTGAAAAACAGGCTGTCAGGTGCCGTGGCCTAAGTTTCTCACTGAAAATCCTCGTCCCTCGGCGGCACCTTTTTTTGGATTTTCTTCCTTTTCAACGCCGTTTTTCGGGGATTTCGGATTTTCTTTGAATTTTTTCGCAATAATATTTGAAAAATAGATAAATTTTAACACATTTTAATGCAATAAACATTTTTGGTCGGAGCCCCCCTTTAAAAAAATCCTATAATGCAAAAAACCGCATTGCTGGCCTGGCGGCCGAGTGTGAGATTTCTAGTCCCCTTGCAGTGAAAAAGCGCGCGAATTCAATTTTTTCAGGTTTTCCAATTTTTTTGTCAATTTTTCTCCCGTATACAGTACCGGCCATAAATATATAGAAAACCGTGTTTTTCAGTTAATTTTCGACCATTTCCTGCAGTCTGGAGCTCTGTTTTCAAGCTTCCGATCACTAGGAAAAATTTGGAGGGTGTAAAACAGACCTAGATTGAAAACTTTGCGTTCACAGAATTTTTTGAAAATTCCTAGTTTTTCAGCTTTTTGCCGATTTCTGAAAGATCTGTTTTTTTCACATTTTCAGTACGAAAATCGGCAAAAAACTGAAAAACTATAAAATTTGAAAAAAAATCTGTGAATGCAAAGTTCTCAATCTAGGTCTGTTTTACACCCTCCAGATTTTTCGTAGTGATTGGAAACTGGACAACCGAGCTCCAGACTGCTGAAAATGGTCAAAATCAACTGAAAAACACGGTTTTCCATATATTTATGGCCGTACTGTATATGGGAGAAATATTAACAATAAACTTGGAAAATCTGAAAATTCGAATTCGCGCGCTTCTTCGCAGGGACTAGAAAAATCACACTAGGCCGCAAGGCCACCGGATCCCACTTTTTTGCATTTCAGGATTTTTTTTCGAATTTTTTCACTATTTTTATGTTAATCTACATGTTTTTCTGCATATTTTTGAGCAATAAAATTTTCAAAAAATCCTATTTTTCAGGTGTTCGCGGACTCTACAAAGGCCTTCTCCCAACGAATCTCCGTACATGCTTCGCCTCCGGATGCCTGTTTGTCGCCTACGAGGAAACCCGAAAATTCTTCCACTACCTCTTCTAGATCTTTCTTTTTTTGGAAATTATTGCTCCCAGAGCTTTTTCTTTTTCGTTGTCATTTTGTTCCACTCTGCTGACTACCTGTTTCTCTTTACGATTTTTTGCCATAGGCGCTTTTCTGTTTTGTACCCCCCGGTTGTTTTTTTTTTCAAATCTTTTAAATATTTAGCTATGAAAATTCTGAATAATCCATATTTGTTAAAAGATTAACCGTTAAATATCACTTGTTTACTTGCTTCTCGCTTTTTTTCCTGAAAATTAGAGATTTTCAGTTTATGCTATCTGGTTACTTGTTTAAAAATATCCGCACAACACAACGATTGCTTAGAAATTTCTCATCGGACGCCAAGTTCTTCAAGGTGAGAAAGCCTTCTAGAAAGCAGAATAAATTGGGTCTCGAGAAGGAAAAGAGGCGAAAAAACAAGCTTCAATCAACCCAGTTTTTTTATATAGCGGCGCGCGCGCGATCTCCATACCAGGAAGTTGGTTGGCTGGTGGCCATTTTTTGCCTCATCTGAATTATTTTTTTTAATGCTTGTTTCCGCTAATTTCGAAACAAAAGAGCTGATAAAGCTCTTTGTGTTGACTATTATAATCCCAATAAATCGAATAACATTACTCATTTTATTGATAAGAATGCGTTGTATGACTTGTCGGAAGTTTTACACAAACATGATGAAATGTGACGGCTTGCTTGATGGATTTCGAACTATTTTTTTCTATTTTTAAGCCAATAAATTCACCAGTTTCCTCAATTCTTTTTTAAATCGAAAAAATATCCTTAATTTGAGATAAATACTTCGTTTTTATTGTCGTTATCTTCAGAAGTTGTGTAAAGTTCCACGTCTCTTCTCTAACTTCTCTCACACTCTCCACTCTCTAGCGCGTAGCCGGGGAGCGCGTTTGCATTCTCTCCTGGAAGAAAAATTTGCGAGGTTCTACGAATTCAGAAGGGAAAATGGTTCTGAAAACGTTCTCTGACAGCTTATTTTTTATGATAGGGTGTTGTTTAGAATCTTCGCGAAGCTTTTTTTATTTCGATTCTTTTTTGGGGGTTTGATTTCGGTTAAATATCTGTATTTTTAGGTAAACAACTGTAAAAATTTTTTTTTCTGTTTCTTTTCTCAAAATTTACTCCCAAATACCAATTTTCCAGGTCGAAGTAGTCTCGAATAATCGAAAAGCTCCCCTCCAAACCCAAAGAAAATCTATCGCACCTCGTTTCGAGAAGAAGACACGACAGAAAATCTCGGATTATCTCAAGCAAATGGCGACTCCTGAAATTGAAGCGGTGATTTAAAAATTCAATGTGCCTTGAAAATTCGAGGGTGGGCGGAGCTTAGGTTCGGTAGCAGAATCCGTAATTATTTTGAGCCTATTATTTCCGATTTTCCGATTATTTCCCTTGTTTTTATGAAAATTTCTGAGATTTGCCGATTTTTCAAAAGAAAAATGTCCAAAAAACGATGAAATTCGTCGAAAATCATAATACGGATTTTAGAAGTTGTCATGGATTTTGAAGCTCATTTAGTGCTGAAAATGTCTCTCAAAATCTCCTAAAACTGAATTTTGACCGAAAATTTTAGAGCCATTTTATGGCTTTTCAGAGCTAAAAATGTCCCAAAATCGATTTCGGGTTATTGCAAAAAAATTCTTTTCCAATTTTGAGACATTTTCATAGACAGTTTCAGCACTAAACGAGCTGAAAATCTTTAAAAATTTCTGAAATTCGCCTTTTGATTTTGACGAATTTCATGGGTTTTGCCCATTTTCCTTATGAAAACCTGGCAATTCGCAGAAATTTGCATAAAAACAAAAAAAATCTGAAAAATAAACCAGAAAAGAACGAAAAAACATGCTCCTTTAAGGATTTTGCTGCCGCACCTAAGCTCCGCCCACTTTCTAATTTTCGTCCGCAACGCAAAATTAGACCTCAGTAATACCAGAACTTTATAATCTCAATTTTTCAGCAACTTGCGCCACTCCGCGCAGCTGTCAAAGAATATGGAGACTTGATCCGTGACTTGAAGGCAAAACAAGCCCCAAAAATCGATATTGATAAGGCTGTCGTCGAGTTGAAGGCCAGAAAGAAGCTTCTCGAGGAAACCGAAATCGCGTTGGCACCGAAGGAAGCCTCTTTCGATCGTTTGAAACTTGAGGATCTTCTGAAAAGACGCTTCTTCTATGATCAATCCTTCGCCATTTATGGTGGTGTCACCGGTCTCTATGACTTCGGTCCAATGGGATGTGCTCTCAAGGCTAATATGCTTCAACAGTGGAGAAAACACTTCATTCTGGAGGAGGGTATGCTTGAGGTCGACTGCACTTCATTGACTCCAGAACCAGTGTTGAAAGCATCTGGACACGTGGATCGGTTTGCTGATTGGATGGTGAAGGACACCAAGAATGGAGAGTGCTTTCGTGCGGATCATTTGATTAAGAACAGTATTGAGAAGTTGATGAATGTGAGTAAAATAGTAAAATACCGTAAATACTCTAATAGAACACCACCCGGAACGTCCACTTTGAGCATAAATATCTCACTTCTTTAAAAAAGATATCAAAAAGTTGTCAACTAATAAAAACTTCAACATGATATCAGCAACATTTTATTAGTTTACCACTTTTCGATATCTCTCACAGAAAATGAGATACATGGGCTCAAAGTTGACGATTCGGGTGACGTTCTATTAGAGTGTTTACGGTATCTCCTCTTCTATTAGTCAATTTTTATAGGACAAGAAAGTGTCTGCTGAGATCAAAAAAGACGGTGAAGATGTGCTGGCTCGTCTCGAGGGATTCGATGATAAGGATATGCATGAAGTTATCACTAGATTCAAGTTCAAGTCTCCAATCACCGGAAACGATCTCACCGAGCCGATCGCTTTCAATCTGATGTTCCCAACTCAAATCGGTCCAACCGGCGATTTCAAAGCATTCCTTCGCCCGGAAACCGCTCAAGGAATCTTTGTGAACTTCAAGCGATTGTTGGAGTTTAATCAAGGAAAACTTCCATTCGCTGCTGCTCAAATCGGTCTTGGATTCAGAAATGAGATCTCGCCAAGGCAGGGCCTCATTCGTGTTCGTGAATTCACAATGTGCGAGATTGAGCATTTCGTCGATCCAGAGGATAAGAGATTCCCAAAGTTTGCAAAGGTTGCTGATGAGAAGCTCGTTCTTTTCTCGGCATGCAATCAATTGGATGGTGCTCCAGCTAGAGAAGTCGCCATTGGAGAGGCGGTGGCTAATGTGAGTAATTTTTATCGGTAGTGCGAGTGGGCGGAGCTTAGGAACATGCATTTTTCGTATATATTTTCTGGCCTACTTTCGAGCAATTTCGCACGATTTTCGGCTATTTTCGACATCGATGAAAATCATCGTAAAATTTAAAAAAGATAAGTCAAAAGAATACAGGAAAATTACATGCGCCTTTAAGGATTTCGCTACCCGACCTAAGCTCCGCCCACTCTCGAATTTTCAGCCGCATCGAAATGAGACCAAAGTAAAACCTTATTCTTTCAGAAAACCGTAGCCAACGAGACCCTCGGTTACTACATGGCCCGTTGTCATCAATTCCTCATGAAAGTCGGTATCGATGGTCGTCGTCTCCGCTTCCGTCAACACTTGTCCAACGAGATGGCTCACTACGCCCAAGACTGCTGGGATGCCGAGATTCTGACCTCCTACGGCTGGATCGAATGCGTTGGTAACGCCGACAGAGCCTGCTACGATCTCCAACAACACTACAAGGCGACGAATGTGAAGCTTGTGGCGGAGAAGAAGCTTCCAGAACCAGTTGACGTCGATATTGTAGAGGCACAAGCCAACATGGCTCTTCTCGGAAAGAAGTATAAGAAGGAGGCGAAGAAGATCCAAACCGCTCTCCAACAGCTTACCAGTGAACAAGTCACTGCTATCGAAGCCGAGCTTGTTGCCAAGCAGCTCTACAATTTGGATATCAATGGAGAGAAGTTCGAATTGGCACCTGATCTTGTCAATATTAAAAAGTACTCCAAGAAGATTCATGTTCAAGAGATCACTCCATCAGTCATTGAGCCATCTTATGGTATTGGAAGAATCATGTACGCCCTTTTGGAGCACTCATTCCGTCAAAGAGAAGGAGATGAGCAGAGAACATTCTTGGCATTCAAGCCACTCGTCGCCCCTATCAAGTGCTCAATTCTCCCGATTTCTGCCAATGATACGTTGGTACCAGTGATGGATGCTGTTAAGGAGGAGCTTTCTCACTATGAGCTTAGCTACAAAGTGGTAAGTAGGGGTCAGAGGCTGTCAGAGTTATAAATGCCAGCCAGGATCATATATTCCACTTTTTAAATCAATATATCATTCCAGGACGACAGCTCTGGAACCATCGGTCGCCGCTACGCTCGTACCGACGAAATCGGTATTCCATTCGGTATCACCGTCGACTTTGAATCCGGAAAGACCACTCCATACACTGTGACGATTCGCCACGCGGAGACAATGTCGCAGATTCGGCTGGAGGTCTCGGAGCTCGGAAGACTGATTTCGGATCTGGTCAGTGGCCGGCAACAATGGAGTGATGCGCAGGCAAAGTATCCAAAGTTCGAAGCGAGTGCTGAATAATTTTCTAGCTCAATATAATCCTTTTTTCTTTGTTGCCTGTTTAAATTATTATTATGGTTCTCTTTAATCAGTGTGTGTGCTTCCTTTTTTGTTTTTCAATCTGGTTTCGTTTCTCTATTTGAATGAAAAAATTTTGCTTATCGGTCATAAAATAAATTGCGTTCTTTATCGGCTGAAAATATCTGAAAATTTTGAAAAACAATTGAATGAAAAATAAAAATTTAGAACTGAAAAAAAGATGCTCGGAGTCGTTGGATTTTTCATATACGGAAAAGAGGTGAGTTTTCTAATTTTTTGACGATTTTCACAGTTTTTTCGATGTAAATCTGAAAAATCGAGATAAAATTATGAAAAAACAGTTTTTACCGTTTTTTCGATGAATTTCTTAATTTAAATTCATTTTTTCGAGTTATAATAAATTTGAACGTTGAAAATCGGCGAAAAAACGGTGAAAATTGTCAAAAAAACTGAGAAAATTATCTGAAAAAATGAAAAAAAATGCATAACCGGCGGTGTCGCGTCGAGACCCATCCTCTTTGCAACATGTTCCTTTAGAAATCTACCGTAATCTTTAAAGGAACATGCCGGAAAAACTAAATTTTGGGTTTTTCCTTCGAAAATGAGAGACCGTACAAATCCGGGAGACACCCAAAAGCGGGAGACACGAGAGCGGGAGACGAAAGAGGAGAAAGTACGCAATTGCTTACCGTAATCCACTGTTCCGTTGTAAAAAATTAGGCTATTTTTCAGTAAATTTGTGAATAAAATACCCGAGATAAATGAAAATATGTTTAAAAAAATTTTGAGACCTTTTTTATGCTCCTGTACATCATTTTCGGCCGCTTGGTTACTCTCGGTTTGGGAATTAACGGTGGTACGGTAAGCAATTTCGTCTCCCGCTTTCGTGTCTCCCGCTTTCGTGTCTCCCGCTTTTGGGTGTCTCCCCGATTCGTACGGTCTCGAAAATGAACCTTTTTTCTGCAATTTTTCAAGTTTTTCGAAAACTTCCCTGAAAAAAAACAAATTCTGAAATTTCAATAATTTTCCTGTAAAATCCCTGTAAATCTTATAATTTTCAGAATATTCGCCTATTCGATTCAGTGAATCCGCGATATGCGCAACAGCTGCTGGAAATTGAGATGTTTACGTTCTGCTCATTGGATATTGTTGATGAAAAAGCCACGAAGGCATCGGAAATGTTCCTGGGACAGCTCTACAATGATCAGAAGTGGAGATCATTCGGCTTTGTCACCAACACCGGCGTTCGCATGATCCTTGCACTCGATGCCACGTCGGCTGCCTCGTTGAAAGATCAGGAGATTCGACTAATCTTCAAACGATTCCACGGTCACTACTGTAACACAATCTCCAACCCATTTTACGAGATCGGAACGCCAATGCAGTCCAAATGGCTGGATGAGGGAATTCGGGATTTGTATTCGACGAGTGATTAGTAATCATTGATTTAAAATGGCTATTTTTTAAAGATCTGCTGTACAAAATAAATTATTGAATGCTTTAATTATGTACGATTAGATGGGAGAAACGTTCTGCAAACGATATATTTTATTAAATTTGAAAAAATTGTTAAATAAAAAAACGCCCACACAGAATGGAAGACTCGGGGTTCAGTGGCGTTGTACGACTGTCCAATGTGTCGGATTTTATTGCTCCGAACTTGGTAAATTTCATAAATTTCGGTAATTTTCATCGAAAGTTAAATAAATAGGACTGCATAATTCCATTGGAGACTCGAACGGTTGAGAAGAAAAATGAAGAGCCGCAGGTCAACATTCGAGCGAAAAAGACGAAAAACGAAGAAAATAAGCCAAAAGAGGACAAGAAATCGGTGAAAATCTCTCTAGCGGACTGCCTGGCTTGTAATGGATGTATCACGAGTGCCGAGACGGTTCTTGTTGAGGAACAATCGTTTGGAAGGCTTTTGGAGGGAATTCGAAATTCCAAAATGGCAGTTATCACTATCAGTCCGCAGACTATAACGTCCTTAGCGGTTAAGCTAGAGGTACACTTTTCCGAAGAGCTTTTTAGAGGAACATGCTTCAAAGATTCTAAGATTCAAAAGCAGAAAACTGAATTTTTCGGATTTTTCCGGCAAAGTTCAGCAGCCCTTTTCTCGATTCTTCGACAATTTTCACTGTTTTTTCGATGTAAATCGGGTAAAAAAATGAATAAAAATGATGAGAATCATCAAAAAATTGAGAAAACAGTCTGAAAAAAAGGTTTTTTGCTTATGAGAAATTTTAAATTTTGCGCATTTTTTTCCTAATTTTTGCAATTTTTCGACGATTTTTACCGTTTTTTTCGATTTAAACTGGGAGAAATGATGAAAATCATCGAAAAATTGTCGAAAAGTTGAGAAAATAACCTGGAAAAATTGCTGTTTTGCTTCTAAAAAAAAAATCAAATTTTAAACATTATTTTCCTATTTTCGCAGTATTTTTTTTTTCAAATTTTACTTCAAGATGAAAATCCAAATTTTTACAGAAAACCCCGGAAGACTTGGCCAAACTGATCGCATCCTTCTTCCGCCGCCACGGTGTCAAATACGTTCTCGATTCGTCATTCGCTCGCCAATTCGCACATTCTCTAGCTTATGAGGAACTCCTTTTAACACCATCCACCTCGAGACCCCTACTCTCATCCGCCTGCCCTGGATTCGTTTGTTACGCTGAGAAGAGCCACGGAGAGCTTTTGATTCCAAAGATCAGTAAAATCCGATCACCTCAAGCGATCAGTGGAGCAATAGTGAAGGGATATCTAGCGAAAAAAGAGGGTCTGAGCCCTTGTGATGTGTTCCATGCTGCTGTTATGCCATGTTTCGATAAGAAGCTGGAACATCGAGGGAACAGTTTAGGGTTGAGGGAACGGAGATAAGAGAGACTGATTGTGTGGTGAGTACGGCGGAGTTACTGGAAGAGCTTGTCAAGGAAGAAGGCGTGGCAGAAGACGTAGAAGAAGAGGAAGAGAACAACTGGACGACTTCTTTATCGAGAGGTTTGTGAATCACGAATTGAAGTAAAAAAAAATCTAAAAACTGAAAAACGTTTCAGGCATCATCATTGGAGAGGATGGAGGTGCATCCGGCGGCTATGCAGACCGCATCGTTCGAGATTTCGTCGCTCAGAATGGAGGAATCGTGAAGACGTCGAAATTGTGAGTATTTATTATTCTGGAAGGTCCCACAGCGTAGTCTACCGTAACCTAGAAATCAGTTTTTTTCGGATTTATTTTTCTCGATTTTAGATAGATTTTAGTCAATTTTTTTACTGTTTAAAATTGCATTTTCCGACTTGAAACTCAGAGAAAAACGAGAATTAAAAATCAGAGAATTGAAATCTTTAGGTTACTGTAGTTGTCGTTGCGGGGCCAGCTCTAATCTCTTAGTACCCTAATAACCTAAAAATGGTTATTTCAGAAACAAGAACATGTTCTCCACCACCGTCGAATCGACAACCACCGGAGAGATTGTGCTCCGTGTAGCCAAAGTATACGGTTTCCGGAATGTTCAAAATCTGGTTCGAAAGATGAAGACGAAAAAGGAGAAGACTGACTACGTGGAAGTGATGGCTTGTCCAGGAGGATGTGCCAATGGAGGAGGTCAAGTACGATACGAAACAATGGACGAGAGGGAGAAACGACTGGCTCAGGTGGAGGAGCTCTATGAAGCATTGCCACGTGGAAATAGCTGGGAGGAGAGCGTTCGAGAAGAGTGGAAGCGACTAGATACAAACTACAAAAATCTATTGTTCACTGATTATAAACCTGTAGAGACTAATGTTGCTCAAACTTTGAAGTGGTGATTTGTTGTTTTTTTGAATTATTTTTGAACTACATTTCATTTTTTTTTGTTCCTGTTGATACTATAGAATTCGTTTAGTGAATAAATACATTTTTGAGAAGTTTTAGACATAAAAATAACGAAAGTTTCAAATTGAGACAACGTTATTTGATCTACTTCGGCGCTCAAAATTGGATACAAAATTTTCTCTGACTAGATTTTTCTTTTTCTGGCATTTTTGGCCTTTTTCTCAGCTTCTTCCTCTTCTTTAGACACGTTAAGCGAGAGTGAGAGAAAAAGAAGAGACGCAGACTGTTAGAGGAGAAATAGAGGCAATTCACTGTCTCGTGGACTAATTCATACCCTCTCTCCCTCTCGGCCGGCCACTATCGACCGCGGACCGGGGAAATTTTATTTTAGTGATTTTGAAATTTTGAATTTCTTGATTTTGCTGAATAGAATAATTATAGAATATTGCTCAAATTTCAGATAAATTTTCGAAAAACAATTTTCATTTATTTTAGTGATTTTAAAAATATAGTTCTTCCATTTTTTCTTTATAAATAAAGCTTTATAAAATAATTATAGATAATTGCCAAAAATTTCAGATAAATTGAAAAAAAAACAACAATTTTTCGAGCTCATATGAAACAACAAAAATGAGCTCGGGAATTAAAAAAGGACGTCTGGGACGGCGGAAAAGTGATCCGGGAACGTTGACAGTGAGGTCCACAGCTGATAAGTGCGTTTTTTTTCTAAAATTTTATTGTAAAATTTTTTTTTAATTTAGGTTTCGAAATTTATAGAAATTTTTCTTATAGAAGCTTTGATTTTTTGAAAAAAAAGTGCGAAAAAGTTGTTAATTATCAATTTTTATGCCAAAAAAAAAGAAAAATTTGATGTCCGATGGTCCCGAAACGAAAACTACAGTAGCCTGAGAAATAATTTAAATTTTCTGGTTTTTTCTCGATTTTCTCAACGATTTCACACCAAAAAAAATCGAAAAAAGCACCGAAGAATATTATAAATCGGAAAAATTGTCCGAAAAACAAAAACTACAGGATCCGAAAAATAATTCAAAATTTGCCAATTTTTTCTCCTTCTGAGGTCCCGAAACGAAAACTACAGTAGTCGGAAAAAATAATTTCCAATTTCCTGATTTTTTCTCGGTTTTTTGACTATTTTCCAGCAAAAAAAGTCGAAAAAGCACAAAAATAAGGCGAAGGTCCCGGAACGAAAACTACAGTAGCCTGAGAAAAATTTTGAATTTTCTTAATTTTTTTTTTTGCTGGTTTTTTTGGCGATTTTTCAGCAAAAATTGCAACTTGGAAAAATTGCCTGCAAATGGAGTAAAATTAAAAATTGGAATTCGAAAAAGAACTACAGTAGCCTGAAAATGGTTAATTTTAATGGTTTTGTATCGGACCCACGGCTACGATTTAAGAAAAACAAAAAGTTTATTGTGTTAGACTGACAAACAAAAAAAACTGAAGGTCCCGAAAGGAAAACTACAGTATCCTAAAAGTAATTTTAATTTATTCACTGATTTTTTTTTCTCGGTTTTTTAACGGTTTCCCAGCGAAAATTGCAGGAAAACGGAGAGGAAGGAAGAACAATTTTTGAGAAATTCGAATATTTTTCAGGTTACGGTAGTTATCGTTCTGAAACTGTCAATAAATCACATTTGCAGGCGAAACGAGCTAAAAACGAGAAATTTCAAAAATTTACTGTAACTCTTCAGAATCGCGACATGTGAACTACCATGGGGCGGCACTCGAATGGTAAATCTGGGACAACTGGACCTAACCCAATTGAGTGGACCATTTGTGGGTCAAACCGCGTTGATGGACCTATTCAACATTTTCGAACGAAAATTGCACATTGTGACCGAAGAAGAGCCATTGGAAAAGATGTTGAATAAGACGCTGCAACGAGGTGGAGACCCTTATTTCGATAACTTTGTCATACACTTCATGGACTTTCTGAGATATGTCTTCCGCCGATTTTGAAGATTCTTGTTGAATGGCATGAGAAGTACGATGAGTCGTTGTCTCTATCAATGCTCTCGCCAAATGTGACGTAAGTTTGTTTTTTTTTTTGAGATATTGGGTTGACAGTTGGCGGGGGTCATCCATCAGCCCGGGACGCTAACTCTCGCCCTTCTAACTTTGACCCAATTTATCTCGGTTCAAATTAGAAGTATCGGAAAATGGTAAACTAACAAAATGTTTCTAAAAAGTTGGCGGGGGCCATCCATCCGCACGTAACGCAAACCCTTGCACTCTCAACTTTGAGCTCAATTATCTCGGTTACTGTAAGAGATATCAAAAACATGTCAACTAGCAACATAATTTTCATATCATCAGTAACATTCTATCAGTCGACAGATTTTAGCTATCTTCTACAGTAACACAGATAAATTGATTCAAAGGTTTAGGTTTCAGGAAAAGAGTTTTAAAATGATTGGGGTTTTCTAAAATTTTCAGACAATGTCAAACAAAAATATCTATTCCCTTCTTACATTGAGAAATTGAATTTTTATAAAAAATTTGACTCAATTCGATTTTCAGCATTTTTGACATATTACATTTCCAGCGGAAATTAGCTTACCGCCGAACTTTGACCTAATTTATCTCGGCTCCTATAAAAGATACCGAAAAGTGGTCAACTAGCAAAATATTACTGATAACATGATAAACATTTTGTCAGTTGACAACTTTTTGATATTTCCTATAGGAACCGAGATAAATTGACCTAAAATCATGTTTCCCTAGGGAGTAACGCAGTGCCATAAAATTTAAAGGCTCAAAACTCAAAAATTGTGACTTAAAAAATATGAGGAGCCCTTCAATGACAAATTTCAAAACAATTTCAGAGCTGAAATACGTCTGAAACTTGCGAAGAAACTGCTGGCAGTCAACTATTTATTCTGTTTGGTGCTCATTGAAATTCTTCCACAAGTTGAATTCCATCTACCACAATGTGATCCACTCGTGAAGAAAGTTCTAGAGATTTGCTTCAAAAATGTGCAATACAGAGAGCCGTAAGTTTTTCAATGAATTGGATTTTAAAAATACCGTTAATGCTCTAATAGAAGGCCGCCTTCGAGCTCAATTATCTAGTTTCCTACAAGAGGTATTCAAAAAGTTTAAACTGATAAAAAGTTGGTGATATTATGATGAACCTTTTATCAGTTGACAGATTTTGAATAGTTCTTATAGGAACCGAGATAATTGAGTTCAAAAAAGGTGGGCTTCCATTGGGGCACTTACAATATTCAAATTTCAAAATAAATTTAGGTCAACTGTTGGAATCAACAAAACGAATCATTTGGTGGTGGCGGAGACGTATGGGGAAGTGTTGGGAGTACTCTCGAGCACCTATTTCACTCATATTCATAGGTATTATTAAAAATTTCAAATTTCCCGCCAAAAATTCCTTCTAGAATCTTCATGACCCATATCCTGGAACTCAAAAAAGACGTCTCACAAACTGCGGCTCAACAAATTGTCGCGCTTATCATGTCGATGAAATTCCTTCGAATCAACTCGAGTCAAGTGGAAGATTTTGAGAGTGGACTCAAATTCTTGGACGATTTGGGAAGTTTGTTGTTAGAAGTGAAGGATAAGGATGTGAAGCATGCGGTCATGGGATTGCTGGTGGAGATTCTTCTTCCTGTTGCGGCGGTTGGTTTTCTTGGAATTTTTGAGAAAAAAACTAGTTTTTTTTCAGCAAATAAAAAGGGAAACCAACATTCCGGCACTCATCTCGCTGGTCCAAAAATTGTACATTACCACTAACGATATGATTTCAAAGAAGCAACATAAGTTGGTAAGTTGTGCCACTTTCAAGTTAGTTAAAAAGGGTTACGAACTTGTCAGATTCAGCTCACATTTTGTGAGTGTACTACGCAAAAATAGAGCATCAACTTCGTATTTAGTCACATTATGGTAAAATTTGTTATAGAAAAAATATGGAGCTTCAAATTTACCGTAAATGCACAAACAGACTCTCCAATAGAAGCTCAAACTTCGATCTCAATTATCTCAGCTCCTTTGAAAGATATCAAAATTTTGTCAACTAATGCAACATTTATCATATTATCAGCAATATTTATCAATTTACCACATCTTGATGTCTCTCACACGAACCGAGATAATTGAGCTTAAAGCTGACAGCTTGGTTGGGTTCCTATTATATTAGTGTTTACGGTAAGTTCTTCAAAACCCTTGTATCTAGCTTGAATGGAAAGTCACAAAAAAGTTGTCAACTACAGAATTGAAGCTCTATTTTTGTTTCATATACTCACAAAGTTTCAATCTTATTGGATTAGTTATAAGCACCTAAAGTTGACCTAGTTCTAATTTTAAATCCCATGCCTATACAGTATCCTGCCACTCGCCAGTGTTTTTGGGATTTTTCTTTTTCGGTTCTTTTTTTTCTGAAAAAAAAACAACTAAATAATTGAATTCTACGTAGTTGATTACATATGGACACAAATTTTCATATTGGTCCTGCTTTTCCAGACATAGTTACAGACCTTAAAACAGGCAAAAATAGGCTCCGCCCCTTTTTCTGTGGTCGCAACCTATACTTGCGCGTTGAGCTCAATTATTTCGGTCCCTGTAAGAGATATCAAAAACTGTAAACTGCAAAAATGTTTTCGATAACATGATAAGCAGTTTATCAGTTGACAACATTTCGATATCTTTTATAGAAGATGAGATAATTGAGCTTAAGGTAATCTGGCTCTATTACGGTGGATACGGTAATTTTCAAATAATTTCAATTTTGCAGGCAGCATTCCCTCTGATCACTTGTCTTCTCTGTGTCAGTCAGAAGCACTTCTTCCTCGCCAACTGGGTTCAATTCTTGAATGCGTGCCTGTCTCATCTCAAAAACAAGGATACCCAAGTGGCACGTGTCGCTTTGGAGAGCTTGTATCGGCTGTTATGGGTCTACATGATTAGAAATAATGCGGATGGAAATGCGGCGACTCGGTCAAGATTGGACTCGATCTGCGGAAGTCTGTTCCCCAAAGGAAATCGATACATTGTGCCACGAGATGCACCACTCAACATTTTTGTCAAAATCATCCATTTCATCTCGCAGCAGAAATTGGATTTCGCTTTTAAAGAAATCATTTTTGACCTACTTTGTGTGAATAACAGAACTCAACGTTCTCTGTATGCTGAACGAATGAATGTTGGAATTCGTGCTCTGATGGTCATTGCCGATGGTCTTCAACAGAAGGATGATCCACCAGCGATGCCAAAATCGATGGGTCCATCTGCAAGTGGAACTGTGCACAAGACGAAAAAGAAGCAGTATATTACAAGGCCACTGACGAATGAGATTTCAAAGTGGGTACCAGAAGGGATTAGTGGAAAACAGGTCATTAGGACTTTTGAGACTCATTTTAAGCAATTAATAAAAGGGGCATCTAACCAGCTTATGTTTGAGCCAATTTATCATGGTTACTGGAAAAGATAACAAAAGTTAGTCAACGGATAAAATGTTTTTTTCACATTATGGCAAACATTTTATCAGTTAAAAGGTTCTTGATATCTTTTGGAGAAGCTGAGATAATTGAGCTTAAAGTCAAGGAATACTTCCTTGAAAAGTTAGAAGTGGACACCGGCAAACCTGTGACACAAGGCCCGCTTATGTTTGAGCTTAATTATCTCGGTTACTGTAAGAGGTATAAAAAATCTGCAATTTACAAAAATGTTACTGATAATATGACAAATATTTTATCAGTTGACAGATTTTCTCTTATAGGAAGCGAGATAGTTGAGCTCAAAAAGTAGGGGCGTTCGTTAAGCGCCTGACGCATAGCTCAGCCGGTAACGATAGGAACACCAAAACGACATTTCAACACAAGCTAACTAAACCACAAATATAAAACCCAAAAAGCTGAAAATCGCATTTTCTGACACAAGTAAAAGTTTTGCTGAAAAATTGATTTTAGATTTGTAATCAAGAACCTCAAAATTACTTTTTGACAATTTCTCAACAAAAAAAACCTTAATTGCACTTTGAGCTTAATTATCTCGGCTCCTGCGAAAGATATCAAAACCTTGTCAACTGTTAAGTTATTTATCATAACATCACCAACATTTTATCAGTTAAAAGATTCTTGATATCTGTCATACGAACCGAGATAATTGATCTTAAAGTTCAGGGAGTACGGTATCTCGCCAAACTTGGAAACTTTCCGAGAGGACACAAAAGAATGCCTATTTCCTTTGATACAGGATGGTACCAAGAGATAGAGTAGTCACAGAAATGTTTATCAACGATAAAACAAGAGATACTACGGTCATGCTCGATCATTTTATGACCCCTCCCCCGCCCCATCTTATTTACATATTGTTTTACCATAGTCTTTTATACCCCCCCCCCCCCCCCCCCCCCATTCCTACTAGCTCGAACGGCATTTGGTTTGTTTTTTCGATTTTTTGTCACATGATCTTTTGATGATAGGGGTACCATGACTCATTGAATAGCATGAGCCAGTAGAGAATGACTGTCTCGAATATTTGAAAATTTTTATTACAAATCTCATGTTTTTATCTTCCAGATCCATTGGAATCGATCCGTTCTATCCGCAGTGCCGCAAAGCATTCGACAGTATCCTCCGTCTTCTGGATACGCAAATCGGAAAACCCCTCATGATGTCGTCGATTCAGAATCGAGGAAAAGAGCCGGACGAGCTGATGGGTGGAGATGCGAAGCCAAAATTGGATCTGTTCCGAACGTGTGTTGCCGCGATTCCAAGACTTTTGCCTGATCCAATGTCGCATGTGGTAGGTGTAGCGCTTATACGTGCGGTTTAAGCTCAATTATCTCAATTCCTGTAAGAGATACCAAAGATTGATCTGGCAAAATTTTTATCATGATATCAAAAATGTTTTATCAGTTGGCCGATTTTTGATATCTGTTGCAAAAATTGAGATAAGCTTGATCGAAGCAAAATACCGTACTTGCTCTAATAGAGCCCCACTCAAATCGTCATCTTTGAGCCTAATTATCTCGCTTCCTACCAGAGATATCGAAAATCTGTCCACTGATAAAATGCTATTGGTTATCTGATAAGAATTTTGCTAGTCAACAACTTTTTGATATCTGTCACAGGAAACAAGATAATTGAACTGAAAGTTGAAGTTTTGGGTGGACGTCTATTAGAGGAATTACGGCACCTTCCAGTTAGAGAAGGGCCCCTCAACGTTGGTTCAACTTATCTTTGTTACTGTGAAAGATATTGAAAAGTGATAAAATAACCAAATTTTCATCATATTATCAGAAACATTTTATCAGTTGACCACTTCTGAATATCTTTCATCGGGACCGAGATAAATTGGGTAAAAATTAAGACTGGTCCCCTAACGATACCAAATTGTTTCATTTTCAGGAACTAATTGACTTGCTCACAAGACTGACTGTTCATTTCGATGAGGAACTCCGTAACATGTCTGGAATCACACTTCAGACGATAATCGGAGAATTCCCAGATTGGAGAGAGCAAGTGTTCATCAGTCACCTCTCCCTCATTCAATCCCAGATTTCGGATTTCTATCCCCAGATTCTGGATGATTCCTTGAGACTTATGCTTCAATCACTGACCACTTGGAACAAGGCGATTGTGGCTGAGAAAAAGCGGGAATCGGAGAAAGTTGTGCTTCCAACTAGTCCACCGAGTACACACGCCAGCTCGATGAGCCATACGCACATTACAAGCACACACAGTACCCATATTTCTGTTTCCTTCCCGAATACCGTAACATCTGCGTCTTCGATTCTCTCCAACTCCTCATCACCGCATCAACCGACACCTTCTTTATGTTCTCTTCCGGAATCGTCTTCACTTCATTCGATTCCAACAGCCATCACGAATTCAACGACAACGACGCCAACGCATTCACAAGGTGCACCATCAACATCGATTCCGATTGGAGGATCCGCAAACAGCACTTTGAAGTGAGTTGAGCTCCAAGAGCTCATCGGCTTTCCAGTATTTCCTTTACAATTTTCATTTTCAGTGTTCTCCATCAGATTGAAGGACTTGCGATTGTCTACTTGTGCCAAACCAGATCCAACCCACGAAAGCTTGCGGTCAGCATCCTGAAGGAAATCCAATTGATTTACGATCTCCTTGGAATCGAAACTATGGACACTCCAGTCATTGATGTTCTTGATCAAGCCACTCCATACGTTGTCAAAAAGTACATTGAGCATGTTCCAATCAAGGAACGAATGTCTTGGAATCTAGACTTTGCATCGGTTTGTGAGAAGATCTCCACAATCGAAACGGACAACACACTGGTGAATAGCGATAGAGGAAACGAGTACTTTCAATGGGATCCGTGGGGGTGTGCACTTTCGGGATACGCTGAGATTAAGCATCTTTTGACTAGGTGTCCAAGTGCGGTTGCCTACGCATGGCCAGTGCTTTTCTCGAGATTGAATGCGGTTTCGAGTTATGTGGATCCGAAGTGAGTTGATAAAATTTATGAAGTTACCGTTCGGGTTTCCTCTAAAAGAAGCCCACCCTATTCGTGCACTTTGAGCTCAATTATCTCGGTTCTTGTGAAAGATACCAAAATTTTGTCAATTAATAAAATGTTCATAATATTATCCCCAATATTTTATCAGTTGTCAAATGTCTGATATCTCTTACAGGAACCGTTATGATTGAGCTTTAAGTGCAAGTACCGGGGGTGTTCTATTGGAGTACATTTTGCTTTGACCTCAAATATCTCGGTACCTGTCAACTATATAAAAAATTTGTCAACTGATAAATTGTTTAATATAATATCATTAACATTTTATCAGTTTACAGATTTCTGATATCTCTCAGAGTAACCTAGATAATTGAGCTCAAAGATGAGTAGACTTTTATTAGAGAAACTACGGTATTTTCAAAAAGTTAATTAAAAATTACAGTACTCCTCAAAACGAGAGCCGCTCTTCTTTGCTCCGCGGCTCGAAAAGCAAAGGAACATCTTCGGTTCTTGGAGAACAACTTGGACAGGAAGCTTGTCTTGCTCTTTGGCAGAAGTACCTCATCATGTGTTGTGCTCTGGCACCAGCTCCATACAACCTGTCACAACGGAGTTTCAGTCCAACGAATTCGATGGATGGCCCTGGAGACGTCTTCCGATCCGTTTCGGCATCCCTCAGATCGTCACGAACGCCAGTTCCAAACTCTCTGTCCCAACTGATATCGAAAGTTTGTATAATTCTACGATGGGAGAATCTGACTGATATCCGAGATAGTGTCGTACTTGGCGTTGGATCGATCAATCCATTAGCGTTTGATATGATGTTGGATGAATTGAAATCGAATGGAATCTTAAGAGAGGCGACTGAAAAGAAAACGGAGACCAATTTGAGACGTCGAAAGCGCAAGGATCTTCTCCGATTGCAAATTATTCGAGTTATTGAAGTCGCTATTTTTAGAGGACTTTTATTGGTTCACTCTGCTGGGACATCAGAATACACTCTTCATCCACACGTTGTTGATTTTATCGATTCAATGAGAGTTAATCTGGAAAGTGACCAGGATCGGGATATTATAGTCGTCACTAAGCTCCGCCTTCATTTTGCCAAACTCATCCATTTGATCGTTGACTCGACTCCACATCTTTCCAGACACAGTGAGTGGATCCTCCTAGACTAGGATTCCTAGTTTTCAAAGACTAAAAATAAAAATTGCAGCTCTATTTTCGGAAGAGCGCCGTCACAATCTCTTCTATCTCTTCATCAATTGGTGCTCTCGAGCCATCGCTGCTGATCGAAATATCGAGACAAGGAAGTTGGATCATATGTCGAGCAGAAATCGGTCCTTGCTATGTCACGGATTCTCTGCTGTGGCCCTATTTTTGAGCCAATGAAGTCTATCGGAGAAGACGGATATTTGTATGGATGGTTGGAGAAACTAATTGTGTCGACGAATCCAACGATGCAATCCGAAGTGGAGGAGATGTTAGCGTGGATGTTGGAGTTGAATGAGTCGGGAGTTTTATTGGATTGGTTGATGATGCAATGTTATACACAGGTAAATACTTGCTCTTGTTACCGTATTTGCTCTAGCCGTCCTATACTAGCTCTTTGAGCTTAATTAGCTCGGTTCCTATGAAAGATTCCATTATTTTGTCAACTGATAACATGTTCATTGTAATCAAAAACATTTTATCAGTTGACAGATTTTTGATATCTCTCATAGGAACCGAGATAATTAGGCTCAAAGATGACGATTTGAGATTTCAGCTCAATTGTCGGTTGCTGTAAGAGATATCTGAAAATTGTCAACTAGCAACATAATTATCATATTATCAGTAACATTTTAACAGTTGACCAATTTTCGATATCTCTCACAGGTACCAAGATTAATCAGCTCAAAGTGGAAGTACGGTATCCTAATCCTCAAATTTCAGCGCCCAGCAGTTGCATGCCGATGCTTCCGAGCCCTGGTCCGCGTATTCTCTCGACGTGACTTCCCTTGCGAATTCGTCTCGCTCTTCGTCCTGTGTCAATCTATGCTGGCAGTCAACTCAGTCACCGATTGTGCTCTTCACATGATTGAAATACTACGAAAGCAATTTTTGGATACAAATCTTCATGCAACGTCACCAGCTCAACAGGTTGCTCCGATTGTTCAGATGAGAAATCAGGCGGATGTGATTACGACTGTCTACAATGGAGGTCACATTCTTCCAATCGAACAACAAGACGTTTGCACTCGTCTAGCCAATTCTTATCCTCACTTGACAGTTACCATATTCAGTGAAGTCTCATATCGTCTGGAGACTGATAATTGCTCGAACAAGGCTCAACTTCTTGCTCTCCTCCAACCATGGATCTCAAATTTAGAGCTTGTCGACCAGAATGTCGTAGAAGAAGCAGCCGAAGGTCCCAGAGGATGGGGATCCGAGGAAGCCACTCAACTAGTGCTCAACAATTTGCTCTATTTGACAGTCACCCTGTCTGCCGACTACGAGAAAGAGTTGGCAGATGTTTGGAAGACGTTGGCTATCTCATTTCCAGCCAACCTCCCAGCGATTCTCAACTTCTTCTACACAACCACTCTTCTTTCTCAAGAATCTCTTCTACCGTATACCAAGAGAATTTGTGTGTTGGTATCGCAAGTGGTTGGCACAAGAATCTCCTCGATTCTTTTGGAATGGCTCAGTACTGTACATGATAGCTCGAAAATCACGTTGGAACGGAGTGAAATCCCACCGTATTACCGATGGAAAGATGAGAATTCGGATCGAAAAGTGAACGAAGGATCAACGGCAAGAGATTCGTTGGAGAGAGAAGAACCGACTAAGGATGGTGTGAGGCTGCTTCCGATGCCAGCGTATGGTGGACATTATTCTCCATTGAGTCAATTTTTGCCACCCATTGTTCAACCGGTCCAGTTTTTCAATAAGTAGGAGAAGAGCTATTTTCATTCAGAACTTTTAAAATTAAAATTCCAGAAGTGAAGTTGGCCTTCTCTTGATTTGTGACATCATCCGTACTCGATGCTCCGTTGACTGGTCTGAATCGGTTGCTCTTCTTCTCCATCTATCAATTCTACGACTCGATTCTCTTCGTCCCGCTCTCTGTCGTCATGCCAGACAAACCCTTATCAATGTGATAATGCTCTATATGGATAAGAGTCATCTGGCACTGGTCTCATCGATTTTGCTGAAAAATGAGATGATTTATGGGACAGAAGCTAGTGAAATCATTGGAGAGATTGCTGTTGGCGTGTGCCGAGGCGAGTCACCGTCGTTTGCTCGAGCCACTGCTGATGAGTACCGGAAGATGATATTCGCAAGTCCGACGTTGTTCTCGCAAAATGATTTGCTGTCGGCTGTTGTGTTTTGTATGAGTGAGAAGTGAGTTTTTTCACCTTCTTTTTTTCACCAAATTTATCTCAACTTTTGTACGAGATATCAAAAATATGTCAACTAACAAAATGTTTCTCATATTCTGATAAACATTTTATCAGTTGACAAGTTTTTGATACCTCTCACAGGAAATGAGATATATAAGCTCAAAGTTTGTCACTCGAAAAGTCGACGATGACCGGCTGAGCTAGGCGGTCGGCTGCCGACCTCTTAACTTTAAGTCAACATGTCTCGATTACTGTAGAAGATATCAAAATGTGTTAAACTGGTAAAATGTTTATTATAACATCAGAAATATTTCATCAGTGATCCAACTTTTGATATCTCCTACAGTAATCGAGATAAATCAACCCAAAATGAAAAAGTGAGCTTCGCGGTTAGCAACCGACCTCTAAAGATTGTGCTCAATTTTCTTGGTTTTTATAAGAGATATCAAAGCTCTATCAAATGATAAAACATTGATAATAATATGATCAATAACTTATCAGTTGGCAAATTCCTGATATCCTGCATAGAAATGAAGATATATGGGCTCAGACTTAAAAAGCCGAGCTCTCAAATTTGAGCACATATATCTCGGTTCCTGTCAAAGACATGAAAAAGTAGTCAATTAACAAAATTTTTTTCATATTCTAATAAACATTTTATCAGTTTGCCTAATTTTGATACCTCTTATTGGAATGTAGATAAATGGACTTAAAGTTGACAGTCTGAAAATTAGGAAACTAGGTTCATATATGGGGACCCAACTGTGAGAAACAGGTTTTTCTACAATGTGATCCGAAAATTCTAATATTTTACCTTTCCAGCATGGACACACCATTCTGGTCGAATGAAGACGCGAATCCTCGAAATTGGCGAGTCCCAAGCTCTGAGCAATTGTCGTGCACAGTCCAACACATAGTACGACTCCTTATCAACCGAATGCCAATGATTGAAATGATTTGGACGCAGCTAGCAATGAAAATGGCACTGTCCACCTCGAATCGACACGTGGCTGGAAGATGTTTCCAGATTGTTTCAGCACTCGGACAACCGCCAGGACCATGGATTCCGTCATTGATGTCGAGATTGGCTGAAACTGCTGGAGAACAACACGAAGAAACGCAATCCTATGTGACTGATTTGATGTTGTGTCTGACGGATTGCTCACCGTATATATCACCGGTAAGTGAAGAAATTTTAAAGATTCAAACAAGTCGAAGCTCCAGATAATCGAAACCATCGAAATGCGACAGTCGATTTCTCCGACCCATATGCGTTCCACATCCTACACACCTGCATTCGTTCGTCAATCGGTGATCTGTTCAAGAGTACAGCAGTCGGATAAGAAGAGTGAGGAATCAGATTTGAGAGATCCAGAATTCAGAATTATTACATTTTCAGATGCACGTCTATCGCTGCTGGTTGCCGATGGTGAGTCTTGGAGTGCAAAGTCACCGGATGCGCTAGTTAGAAGTAAGAGTGCAGAGCAATTGAATAGTGAAAATGATGTGAATGAAGTGAGAATTTTTTTCAGAATTCGAAATTTAGAAAATTATAATTTTCAGGAAACAATGTCTCGAATGCAAATTCTGGCGATCGCAGTGAGTATGCTTGAGAGTGGAATCGAGAACGAGTTTCTGCTTTCGCTGAATCTTCTTAACAAGATCTTGGATGTTCCAACGTCGCAAAAAGTGCAATGTTTGGCCAAGTATGATAAAATGGTTGGGCAACTCGAGTGGAAGAATTTCAATGGAATTGTGTCGTTGATCACTAGAGGTAAGAGGCATTCTTGGGTATTCCCCCATGAGCAATCTGTCCGTGATATTGGCACAAATTGGGCAAAACTTTAGCATTTGGACAGGCTGACAAGTTTTCTGGAAGTCTGTATTCCCATCTGTAGAGCAAATCTTGCCCATCATTTGGGAATCTTGCCCATCCGAGTGTAGAATGTGGGGATCTTCATTATAGAGAATAGAAATTACAGTAACCTGATCTTCTGTGCAAAACCAACTGAAAACTGAAAACAACTTTCTGAATTACCGTAATCCATACTTGTTAATCGGGCCGGCGCACAATTCGGTTCAAAATTGGAATTTCAATTTGAATCGAAAAGTAAAATATAGAACTTAACAAGATCTACAGAATGATATCTAACTCTACTGGATGGAAATGCATACTGCGTTTTGAGTCAAAGGCCCTAAAATAGCCATTCTGCCGGTCCGGATGACCCAAAATCAACCGGGCTTTTTTAGGGCAACTGGCTCGAAACTTGAAATTTGAATATAGTGGAATCAGATATCATTTTGTATATCATTTTGATCTAAACAGAAATTCCAATTTTGAAACAAGTTATGCTTAAACTTTCCATCCTAGCAGACTCACTCTGATAAAATGCCCCTTTCAACGTTGAGCCAATTTATCTCGGTCCCTGTAAAAGATATAAAGAAGTGATTAACCGACAAAATATTTATGATAATTTGATGAACATTTTGTCTGTTGGACACTTTTTGGTAACTTCAACAAGAACTGAGATAAATTGGCTCAAAGTTGAAAATTAGGAAATCATTCTATTAGAGTTTACGGTAACTTGTCAGTCCCTAATTTCAATTTCCTAACTCTGTTCTACCAATTTATGCGTTCTCTACCACTTCACCCGAAACCTTTTTTGTCGTGTCACCTGTCCGCTCGCATCGCTTCACAAATCAAAAGAAAAGATCGAACTTGGCGATAGTGTCAATTTGTGGGCAGAGAGGCGAACTTTTCTTCCACTCCGAACGGTTCACATAGAGATTTGAAATTAAGATAGTGTTGGGTGTCTTCTCCTTCTTTAGAATTTAGAGGGACGAATCTCTATTTTAATTGACACCGGTCACACACTAAAAACGTTGAGGAGGATGTTGCGAAAATGAAGAATTGAGATAGAAGAATACGGTAGTTTTTTTTCCAGGCGCTGTCATCCCGAATGCCTATGAGTCATCGATCCAAGCCATGATTCGTGTCAGTGATGTTTTATCCGAGGAGATTGTTGGAGGACCCAATGGAATTGCGATTTTCGTTTGCCACACTCTACCGTACCTTGCTACGAATCTCGAAGCTCCGAATGCTTTGTGTATCAATGCGGCAAATGCGATTGCTTCGGTGAGTGTTTGCAAAGCCTATGTGTTCACTTCGAGCTCAATTAATTCAGTTCCTATAAGAGATATCGAAAAAATGTCTGATAAAAGATGAGTGATATTTTGATAAACAATTTATCAGTAGGCAAATTTTTGATATCTTGTACAGGAGCCGAGATATGGAGGCTCAAAGTTAAAATGCCGGCAGGCGACCGCGTAAATCTGTCGGCAAGCGCCGACTTTTAAACTTCGACCTCATATATCTCGGTTGCTGTAAAAGATATGAAAATTTTGTCAACTAACAAGTTATTTATCACAATTCCACCAACATTTTATCAGTTGGCCATATTTCGATATCTGTCATAGAAACCGAGATAATTGGGCTCAAATTTGAGAGGCCGGCAGCCGATCGCGTAGCTTAGTCGGCAAACGCCGACTTTCAAACTTTGAGCTCAATTATCTCGGCTCCTATACGATATATCAAAAATGTTCCAAATGATAAATTATTCATCATAATATCATCTCCATTTCACTAGTTGACAAATTGTTCATATTGCTTATAGAAACCGAGATAATTAGGCTCAAAATGCACTTATAGGACTGCTTTCTATTAGATCAGATACAGTAGATTATCACTTTTTCATTTCCAGTACTGCGATGAAACGATCAAAACGCAATCTGGAGCCCCGGCCGATCATCCATTCGTTCATCTATCTACAGTAATGAGACAATACGCAATGCGTACTTTTATGAAAGATGCTCAACAGTTTATGAAATGCGTTCTACAGTACATTTGTGACGGATGCATTGCGTTGAACGTCGAGACTCTGATGTGTCTGTTGGCTGAAATGACTGAAAGAGGAGTGATTGGACTGAATGGAAGCGTTTTGCACATGATCTTTTTACTCCTTCAACACAACCATCATTCCGTATCACCACTGTTGATTAATGCACAGGTAAGATCCCTCAGATCCCTCATTGCTCAGTCTTATTGGAAAACATATGTTGTTCAAAGCTTATTGTAACCGTTTTGAAAAGACAACAGCCTATTCCTTTTTTAATGGTCTCGGATTTCAAAACCGTCCGTGCCGCCCGTCTATAAGCCAAATACGTGTCCGTCTCTGCACCGGGTGTCATTTGATGACCGATTGGCACCTCCTTGTGGGGGATAATTGTGTGAATCAGATGTTAACATGTGTGAAAGAAATGACCCTATGGATAGAGGGAGAGGAGGGGGGGGGGTTTATTTTTGAAATTCAAAACTGAGAAACATGAATAAAAGTGTCTCTGGGAAGCAGCTGTTAGGATATTTTCAGTTGAAAGGAGTCATCTTTCTGGTTTTCGAGAAATTCAGATGATCTCAAAAAAACCGTAATCTTTGAGCCAATTTATTTCGGTTACTGTAAGAGATAATGAAAAGTGATCAATTAACAAAATATTTTTGATATCATGATAAACATTTTGTTAGTCAATCACTTTTTGATATCACTTACAGTAACCAAGATAATTAGGCTTGAAGTCGGAAGTGTGTCCACTACTGTGTATGTGCGGTTAGATCCCCAAGCCGTCAACTTTGACCTAAGTTATCTCGGTTACTGTAAAAGATATCAAAAAGCAGTCAACTTATAAAATGTTGGTGATATCCTCATTAACCTTTTATCAGTTGATAACTTTTTGATATCTCTTACAGTAACCGAGATAATTACGGTCGAAGTTAATGATTAGTAGTTTGCTACATATGGTAAGGCCAAACAAAATGGATTGATCCAACTTTTTTAATCAGTAATAACCAAAGCTTTAGCTTTATAAATTTTCGAATTTTCGAAATTTTGAAATTCCGATTTTTTGGACATTTTTTAATGTTCAAAAAATCCGAAGATTTAAAGACCAAAACATTCGAAAATTCCAAAAAATGGAAGTCCTGAAAAGCTCCAAAATTTTTCAAAATTCAGAAAACCCGGAAATTCAGAAATTAGGAAATTCAGAAATTCAAAAAATTCCAAAAAATTCAAAACTCAGACATTTCAAAAATTCAAAAATTCGAAAATTCAGAAAAATTCCAAATGTCCCAAATTTCAAAATTTCAATTCAGAATCTCAGAAAATCAAAAATTGGTTTTTTTTCTGGTACTGAACGGTCCCTATAATCCGCTTCTTCTTATTTCCCCCCATCTAAATATAACAGAATTACGCAATATCCTGCAAAGACATCATACATATCATGTCAATTCAGTCAGGATAACATCTTTTTTGTTACCTTCTTCATCTTTTTTGAGGTCTTCTCTTGACACGGTAATTAACCTTCGACAGTTCCCCAAAACATTTCCGTTGCTCTTGTAAAGATTATAATCTCAAAAAGGATCCCTTCCTCTATTCGGGATTTTCATTAACCATGTTCCCTTTGACCGCCTAGAAGTCGTTAAACGGAGGCGATCCACCGTCGCAGCCGGGTCCATCTGGAAATTTATGTGTCATTTTCGATTCTCGTGAAGAAAAGAACACGGTATTGTGTACAGGGGGCAATAATACAGCTCATACGGTTATTTTATACGATTTTGATGGACGTCGTCGTCGCCTTCTTTGATGAACCGCCGACACGACGTCTTCTAGGGGAAGACATGACGACCGACCGCGGTCATAATTTTTTTGTTTGAGAAAGAAAGAGAGATAGACAGGTGGCCGGAAGAATTACACACACCAGATTATCTATTAATGAATTGAAAACCGAACAAAAAAAAGAAGATAAAAAGAAGATCAAATTTTCAGGTAATCCGAAGTGTGACTCGATTCCTGCAAGGCGGAAATTGGCCCGATGTCTCGAGAATCTACAAAACAATCATTGAGAAATGGAAGAACGAACACCAAATTCAGGATCAAGACTTCCAACTCGACGTCACTGGACCATCTGGAAATTCTGGAGCGGTGACGGTGAAGCCGGCGGAAGAGAAGCCAGCAGCTACGGAGAAACCGCCAGAGAAGCAAAATCTGGATGTGGCAGCCACGAGTCTGAAGAGATATCCACCAGCTCATGTTAGGGTTCGAGACAAATTGATTGGGATTTTGTCAGCTGCGGGTCTCCGCATCGGATTGCCCAATTCTGTATCCCTCGTCTTCTCTAGATCTGATCTTGGAAGTGCCTCATCGTCAAATGAGCGAATCTGCGCGTCGTCACAAGAAGTGGCTTCCACGATGTCACTTCCAGATCCTTCTCAATCCGGAATCACTGACTCGTTCCCACGCGTCTTCAAAGAATTTGACTTTTTGGAAGCAGAACATGATAGTGTTTCTGAAACTGCCGATAGCTGTTTTGGATGGTTATCAACGATGAGACCGACTAGAGATCAGGATGATGAGAAGGGTTCGGTGAGAAGCTCCACGAGGAATTTGACGAAGAGAAATGAAGATGAAGAAGAGGAGCCAGAAGAAGACGATGAGGAATCAGAGATGCATGAAGAGGATCACAGTGAAAGTGATTCTAGAAGAAATCACGATGATGATGATTTGGAAGAAGAGGAAGATGACGACGATGAGGAAGAACGAACTCCATGCCCATCTGAATGTGATGATCGGGAAGATGTGGAAATGCTCCTCAGACAGGATATCGAAGCATTCACAAGTCGTGGTGGAAGTGTCACGGCTTCATCGATGGCTGATGATGATTTGAGGAGTCGTCTCACCAATAATATTGTTTCCATTTCTTCTCAGATGACGTGAGTTAAAAAAAGAATGCTGCGGAACCTGTATTAGAAGGGTCCTCTAACTTTTAACTTTAATCTCAATTATCTCGGTCCCCTCGAAAGATATTGCAATTTTGTCAACTGATAAAATTTTATCCTAATATCCCCAACATTTTTTTTAAGTTGACAGATTTTTGATATCTTTTACAGGAACTTGAGCTCAAAGCGTAAGTTTAGGGTAACGTTATTTTAGAGTAAATACGCTATTTTGCTTTGACCCAAATTATCATGAGTTCTATAAGAGTTATCAAAATTTTGCCAACTTATAAAATGTAGGAGATATTATGATAAATAATTTATCAGTTGACAACTTTACGGTGTTCCCAACTTTGACCTCATTTATCTCGGTCCCTGTGAAAGATATCAAATATCTGTCAACGGTGAAAATATGTGTCATACTATCAGCAATATTTTATTAGTTGACAGTTCTTTCATATCTCCTATAGGAACCGAGATAATTGAGCTCAAAATTTATGAAGCAGTTACAGTAACAATTCTGATTTCATTTTTCAGTGAACACCGTCACTTGGAAGAAGAGAACACATCTGTGGATGGATCCTCAGTATGTGCCTACAGTAATGCTTCAATGCTGGCATCCGAATACTATCCGAATCGCTCAAGGACGCTTCGAATCCAATGCTCTCATCATTTGGATTCAAAAGTGGAACGAGAATTCGCAATGACTGTAAATGAGATCAACGAATCAAATGACAGTAATTTGCTCGCGTATGGAACTCTTCTATCAACTCAACTGTACAAAGCGTCGTGTGGTAAAGTGTGTGCTCTTCTACGAGACGCTTCACATCTTCTCACGAATCGAGCAATGTCAAGAAGCTTCACATCGGCTCAGGAGATTCTGTGCAATGTGGTGGAGATTCCATTTTTGTTTGTGACGGAGCAATTTGTGGGTTTTTTTTGGATAGGGGGGGGGGGTCTGGGGGTCTGGGGTTCAACTATTTTCGCATTTTTCAGTTGCGAAACTCTCCACTCTGCCAACGACTGAAGCACACGCTGAATGAGCTCAAAGAGCACTGGGAGACGTTTGATGAGAGAAGGGATCAGTGCCAAAAGGTAAGTCCCTCAATTTTCTTAATTTCCTTTGTTTCCCATATCTCCTCTCAATCCATCCTTGTCTTGTCTAAAACTAACAAAGTGATTTGTGACATCACACGCCCCGTCTGATCAGATAACCTCCCACTGTGGTGGTTGTGGGGATGCCTCTCAGCGCTTCCTGTGAGGTGTTCACTTCCTCGCCACCCATTGTGCCTGAGAATTGTACATGTCTGTCAAGATGACATGTCAAGATTAGGGCAGATGAATGTTCTTACCACTTAGTTTATCTCCATGGGGTGTCTAGAAAAAATTTTTGGGGAGGCGCCTGAAAAAAAATGGCCAGAGACGTAAAGAAAAAGATTTTGATTTTTTGGAATCTGTGGAATTTTGGAATTTTGGAGCTTTTGGATTTTTGGAAAAAATGAAGTTTCATAAATCCTGTAAAACAATAATATACTACTTTTTATACAAATTAAAGTTTAAACACTGTAGAACGCCACTCTAAAACAAGACTTATCGTGAACACTCTAATAGAATGGCACCCAAATCGTCAACTTTGAGCTCAATTATCTCGATTCGTGAAAAAGATATGAAAAAAAAACTTTCAACTGATAAAATGTTTATCATATTATCAGTAATATTTTACCAATTGATATTTTTTTTCAAAATAACTGTCACAGAAACCGAGATAATTGAGCTCAAAGTTGACAGAGACCCTCATAAGGATGTCTCTTAAGAGACGATCAACTTTTTCGATATTTTCAAAAATACCACAATTTCTCAAAATTTCCAAATTTTTCAAATCTTCTAATAATTTCATAATTTCCAAACTGTTTACAGAATTCCAGAAATTCCAAAAAATCAAATTTAAAAAAAATGTAAAATTTACGAAATTTCCAAAATTTTATCAAAATGTTTCGAAGATTCTGAATTTCCAAAAATTCGAAAAATCAAGAGTTTTTCTACAAACTCCAAAAGAATCACTAAAATGAGACATTTGAAGGCTTGCTCTGATATGACGGTAATCCCATGTTTCAACTTTGATCTCAGTTATCTCGGTTCCTGTGAAAGGTATCAAGAAGTATTGAACTGATAAAATGTTTATCATGTTATCAGAAACATTTTGTTACCATACTACTTTTTGATATATTTTACAGGAAATGAGATAATTGAGCTTGAAGTTTAAGTACCGGCATCGAATCCTATTAGAGTAATAACGGTGTTTTTCTTTGAATTGGTTCCTGTAAAAGGTATCCTAAAGTGACTAACTGATAAAATTTTACTGTTTTTTTAATAAACATTTTATCAGTTGACCACTTTTTGATATCTCTCATAGGAATCGAGATAAATCGGCTCAAAATTAGGTGCCTCCAAACGAAATCATAATTTATCAATTTTCGAATTTTGCCCATTATAGAAATGCAGCGAAAAATTAATCTATGCCACTGTTTTTTTTCAGGCTATGAACTCTCTTCGCTCGGCGTACAAGCTATCTGCTCTTGGCGGATCCACGTCATCGTTCAGTTTGACTTCAGAGCTGGATATGGGAAAACTACTGAACAAGCTCGTATTCCAAGTGAAGCTGATGGTTGATGCCCTGAAAGATATGTCGGATGCTGTCAAGAATTCCACTGGTTCACAGGTAAGGTCCTCAGATTGCTCAGGTTTTTCAAATTTTCCCTAAAAATGGAAATGGGATGTGTTGTTCTGAATGGAAGCATAAACAAGACCCCATCTACCGTAATCTCCGTGATTTCAAACACTTTTTGTCTTGACGTTTTGTCTTGAAGAAATGAGGCGAATCAAAGGAGATTAGAGCACACTCGATTAGGTTTTTGGCGCTCCCCTCGACGTCTTCTGCTCTTCTAGCTTCTCATTTTTCATATTACATCCATTATGGGGGTCCGCTTCAGTACCTCTATTCACACACAGCCGTCGGAAGTTGTTCTAGGGTTACGGTAGCTAGTTGGTTGCAACATTTTGCGTAAAAGGGAGAGTCAGAAAAACGGAAACACGCCGCCTATCACATTTGAGTCATAATAATTGGTATGTGACGGAAAAGTAAGCTTTTTCTCCCTCTCTGGACAGCTCCTTTTGTGTGCACACATGAAGCTGTCATCGGTAGGCCCCGGGACTTTCGGAATGATTGATGACAACAAGTTTTGGAGAGTGGTGTGGTTGACGTCGTCGTCGGTTGTCGACAGAGGCGGCTCTAGCGGCAGCTCACAAATTACGACGCGGCTCAATTTTCTCGCTAGTTGATTTGTATGCTGAAGGCAGAAGAAAGGCATGAAATTTGGCGCTAGCGACTACGGTAGCTGGTTGTGTATTTGACGTGTGGAAAGCAGCAACAGCTGGGAAAACAATGTAGCGACATGGATGTCTGTGATCTTTTCCCCAATATTAGTTTTGATTCTTGCAATCTTGGTTACTGTACTTTTTGGAACTTCTCTTTCCCCTTTTTTTCACATCAATTCATTCTTCAAACACAATTCTCGTCGTCACATCAGATGGTTGTTAGAAAGAGAAGACGAGACAACATGATGCGGCAAATTAGAGGAAACACGAAGAAGAAGTCGTCGATACACGATAAGATCAGCACACACTTGCCAGTTTCAATTTGAGACGATGAGTGATGAGAATAGGAAGGGAAGGGAATAGAAGAACGCCAGTCGGTCCCCCACTTCTCAATTTTTCTTCGTTTTTCGATCGTTTTGATGTCTGAAGGACAGGTGACTCCTTTCCATTCCACTAAGGGGAAGAAGACACCTTTCAGACGACTCGCTTAATCCGTCAACATTGTCGACTTCTTCAATCTGGCGCGCTGTTTCTGAAGCGACGACGGTGGTGGTGGCGCAATTAGGATGAGCGGTACCTCCTATTCGGAGAGGAGAGAAGTGGGGTGTGGTGACAGCCAGGTCGTCATGAGGATGATCTGATAATTGGGCAACGCGCATGTGTGTGTGGCGGCAAGAAGTCGTGACCCCTCTATGTTGGTTTTTCCAAGATATACGGTATATGGCAATTGAGGGAGTTATTATATAATTTACCTATCCTCCTCCGCCTATGAACGATGAATCCCCACAAAGCTGTCAATAACTGGATGCGAGAAATTTATGAACCATCCTTTGTTGTTTGAACCATTTGTTTGAAACGGGTTAAAATCTGAACTGAAAAACTATCAAGCTGACAACAAGCTGAAAAAGCTAGAAATTCGAGCTTTATTTGAAGTCTGGCGGAAGAAAATAACCAACTTTGGAGTCGAAGGGTCCAGCCTAGGTTAAGCTAAGCGGTCGTCATGACAAGTAAACTGCAAATTTTGGACCAATTTATCTCGGTGCCTGTGGGAGATATCAAAAAGTAGTTAACTTACAAACTGTAGTTTAAATTATGATAAGCATTTTGTTAGTTGAAAACTTTTTGAGATCTATGATAGGAGCCGAGATAAATTGGATCGAAATTAAGGACCCTTCTATTACAGGTTTCTTGGGTCTGCTTGAAAGTTTCACCTTTTTTGCTTAACTTTGTTATAAAATATGTTATGTGGAGCTCAGACAAAAGTACCAAAACTGAAAATGTCTAAAAATACGCTTTATTGAGGATACGTTGGAAATTGTAAGTGCCTGTAATACCTGTGATGCCTGTAATAGAAGGGATTTCTAACTTTTAACTTTGAGCCAATTTATCTCGGTTCCTGTGAAAGATATCTGAAAGTAGTCAACTGACAAAGAATGTTAGATAGTATGATGAACATTTTTTCAGTTGACCACTTTTCGATACCTTTTACAGGGACCGAGATAATTAGGCTCAAAGTTAAATACCCAATAAATACTAAAATTTCTGAAATATTTGAAGTTTCGAATCGAATTTCTTTTCTGTAAAGACCCAAAGTTCCCAGTACTATACCCATAATTTTCTACTCTTCAGATATTTCAAATTTTCAGACGTACTCCCTCTCCCCTGCGATTCTGGAGCACCACCGTGAGCTTCTGATGTGCGCTTCGGACGACGCCGCCTCATCAGTCGCCTCATCAATGTCCCGTCTAAACGTGGAAGACTCGATTTCGCGATCCCAACACTCGTGCGATTCGCTGGTGCTTCTCCTAGCCAACAAACGATATGTACAGGCTTTGCAGGCGGTTCGACAACTCAGGTAAGAGATGTTTTACAAAGGATTAGTAGAGAAATGGATGGGTTATTATTATGGTAAGCGTGGAGGAAGAGTAATGGGAGAGAAGAATAACAAGGGGGCAAAAGAAGATAGGACAAATATGGTGGACTGTCTGTTCTCAAATGATATGCATCTCGGGCTTTATGTGTTTATTGTTAGAAAGTATTAGTAGTGTTCCTTCCGATGTACTTGAATGGAAGCGAAAGGAGTACGGTAGGATGATTTCCTGCTGTGATGTTTGACAAGAACGACAGATAAAGGTGTAGAGGAGGTAAATAAGTATACCTTGAGAGAATTGATGACTATAGGTGATTAGTAAGGATTACGGTAGCTCCTTTTGTATAGTTTTATATCAAAATTTCGAATCAAGAAAGATCCCCCACCTACGATTACCTGTTGAATATCATTATTATTTTCCTAGACTCCTAAAATCTCTTTTTATGAACCATGGGTAATTTTCCCCCTCCATCGTCGCCCTTACTATCTTAAGAAAGAGAGTAAAAAGCTGTCCGTTTTACGAGCGACAATTATATCTGTGTTCCCCCTCACATCATCAGCAGCACCCTATCCATTTCATTTACGAAGACCCCCCGAAGAAGAGGAAAAGAACACGCGCGGGTGCTAGCATTATTATCGTTTCCGGTGAAAAGAAAAGAGAGAAAAGACAGAGAGAAGAAGACGCCGACTCTTTCCATTCAAGGTTGGGAGGTGACATGAGTTATGGAGCCAGGTGATTTATGGCTGATAATTATATTAGGTGATTCAAACGGCTTCCTGATTCAGCTTCTTCAGGAATAGGACTCTTTTACTTTGACCCGATTTATCTCGGTTCCTGTGGCAGATATCAAAAAGTGATAAACTGATAAAATGTTTAGGATGGTATCAGAAACATTTTGTTAGTTGACCACTTTTTGATAGCTGTGACAGAAAGCGAGATAAATTGGCTCAAAGGTGTAAGAGCTTTTTTTTTGCCGCCAATGTGGGTATCTTTTCTTCTTTGGGATCCTCTTTTGTTTTTATTTTTAAAAAATGTTCTGAAAATATTGCATTGAATTCGAAGATCAAATTTTCAACCTCAAAAAACTACTGTTTTTGAAAACATATTTAGAAAAAAATATGCCAAAAATTTGACCGATTTCAAACCACAGTAAATGCTCTAATAAAGGCCCATCTTCTACGTGCTCTTTGAGCTTATTTATCTCGGTTCCTTTGAAAGATATCAAACTTTTTTCAACTGATAAAATTTTGTTGATATTATGGTAAACGTTTTATCAGTTGAGACATTTTTGAAATCTTTCAAAAGAACCGAGATAATTGAGCTCAAAGCATTAGATGCCTAAACCGCAGGTGAGCCGCCTTTGGGCCGTCGCCAACGACTGCGTACAGCAGTGCCAACTTTAGCCTATGTATCTCGGTTACTGTACGAGGTATCAAAAAGTGAACTAACAAAATGTTTATCATGATATCAACAACATTTTATCAGTGGACAGTTTTTGATACCTCTTGCAGAAATCGAGATAATTAGGACCAAAGAAAGTACGGTTTATTTACTGACTGATTCTGATCGTTTGAACCTGATGAACCGCTGATAATCTGTTGATGCTCTTCGTTTTTCTCTCGACGATCACTTGCTCGTCCTCCGACACTCCGAGGTGGTGTATTTTTGTGATTTCCTGAGCATCTTGTGTATTGTCGCCCCGGATCGCTGCGCCACTCTAGGAATACAAAACCATGTCAACATACAGACTCTGATAGTGCGAGCATCGACACGAAAACTGACGAAATTTCGAAATGAAGTGCAAGAGAGAGAGAGAGAGCACCGCTGCGCAGGAAGGAGCAACATAAGGAGCACCAGCAGCAGCAGCTCATCATCCTCATCATCGGGTTGTCTTTTCTCTCTCACAAGTGTTAACGCAAACATTGACTATGTTTACAAGACGAATGGATAAAATTTAGACAGACTCTCTCTTGAAAATAAGAAAAAGGACAAGGGGAGCAGCAAAAAAAGACACTCTCCCCTGCGAAATTTAACACAACAACGGAAGGTGACGGGATTCGCGCCGCAAACTCTGGTAAACTTGAGATGGGTTACTGTAGCGGGCGTCGAAATTTACACCCCCACCTCTTCTTCTTTACTTCTGTGACGAAGAGGAAGGCGACGCAATGAGGGGCATAATAAAACTTAACGAATTAGCAAAAATGAAGAACTACAGTAACCTTCTAATTTAATTTTTTCAGAAGAACGTATGGAGAGGAATACGGGTGCTGTGAAACTGTCGACGTCGATGTTCTACTCTTGTTGTTCTGCAGAAGTCACTCGTTGAAGGCGTGGGCGTTGGTCGGCGCGTCGTCAGAGGTTAAATGAAAAATTCTCAGAAAATTGAAATATCGGTGCGAAGAATTTTCAGGAAATCACACGACAGAGTGAGCTGCTTCGAGAGGCGAACGCTGAGCTGGCGTCGTGCCTGAGGAGAAATGCACAGAGTCTGCAGAATATGGAACGGGTGACGCCTTCAATGGGATCCGCATCGATGACGGATTCTTTTGCCCAACTGCCTTCCTCTTCGGATCATTATGATTGATTTTTGAACTTTATCTATTTTTCCTTGATTGAATTGAACGTTGAGACTTTGAGCTCAATTATCTCAGTTCTTACCGAGATATCAAAATTTGGCCAACTGATAAAATGTTTATCAAAATGTCATCTACATTTTATCAGTTGATAGATTTTTTATATCTGTTACAGTAACCGAGATATATAAGCTTTTGATCTTTATCGTATTTTCCCCTGATTGAATTTCGAGCTCAATTATCTCGGCTCCTTTGAGAGATGTCAAAATTTTGTCAACTCATAAAATGTTTATCAGAATAACCCCAACATTTTATCAGTTAACAAATTTTCTGTATCTCTTACAGTAACCCATATAATTGAGCTAATACGATGTATATGTTTTTGCCATTCCAAACCCACACACTTTGCTTTATATAATTATTTTTTTCTTTAAATCCACTTTTTAAAATTCACTTTCCCAAAAAATACAAGTTTTGTGCAATTATGATTGTTTATTACTGTATGTCACTAGGGCTGAATAGGATGGTTCACAAAATCACTGGGGATCAAAATAAGCTGTAAAAGAAAAAAAAATGAAAAATGTACAAAATTTAAAAAAAAATGACAAGTTGAACAGGAGAACTAAAAGCTTGGGTGGGGGAAAGAAGGACCAGAAGTTTCTATTTGACTATTTACTTTTTTTTGTAAGGGGTTCTTGTTGGAAAAAAATTCAAATTATGCCCGTTTTTTTTGAGAGAGAAATTGAGGAGACTTGGATTCGGGGAGAGTCATTTAGAGAGAAAGATCGAGAAAAGACAAAGGAAAAAATATATATTGTGAAATTATTAGAATTAGAAAGAAGAAGGTTTATATACATTAGGGTTTGGCAAGTAAATCCGAGACATCGAAACCACCTTTTTTCGGTGGTGTCAATGCTTTTTCCACTACTTCCTTCTTGCCATTTTCTTCTGAATCGTCGGGAGTCGTCGACACGACTTCTACCTTATCGGCAGCTTTTGAAGCCAAATGTTTGGAAAGAAAGTTGGCAGCAGCGGTTGGTGAATTTAAAGCCAATGAGAATTGCGGGAAGAGTGATGCCATTTGCCATTGAGCCAGCGCCAAATCCATTGGCATGTTCTGATACATCATATCGATTGGAGGTGGCATACAGAATGGTGGAGATCGAAGTGGATGATGTTGGGATAGCGTTGGAGTGGTTGACGTCGAGAGAGACGAGGTGGATGGTGTGGTTTGCGTTGGTTCTGGCTTCGTCCTTTTTGATGTTGGCTCATCGTCATCGGAGTTGGATTCGGATGGATGGGGAGAATGGGTGGGGAGAGAGGCCGTTTTGCCTGGTGGGCTTTGGGTGGAGTCTCCGTTCATTCGATGAAGCTGTCGCTTCTTCTCTCGTTTGCCTGCTCCAGCATCACGGAAACCTTTGGCGAATGGGTTGTGGTCGATTTTCAGCTCGGTGACCTGGAAAATTGGTGGATGTTAAAAATTGGGAGATTTTGAAAAGTTTAGAAACTCAAAATCCAAAAAAAAATTTTTTTACCATTTTACAAAGTTTCGATAAGTTTTAGAAATTGAAAGCGTTGGAGCGATTTCAAAAATTCCAAAAATTGCAAATTTCATTTGTACACCTCTTTTTAAAGTTTTAATATCCTTCCAGTAATTACAGTAATTACAGCAATTTCAAACGCTCTAAAAATTTTTCTGACCAAAAATTTCAAACATTTTCAAATTTGGGAAAAAAACTAGTGATTTTCATAAAACAATTAAAAATATCAATACCTTAAATCTTTCATATTTTAAGCCTAAAACCTTAAATTTCATTAAAAAAATATTTTTCAATTTCGCGAAAAAAAATTTGTGAATTCAGAGTGTTTATTTTTGGATGTGACTTTTTTTTCAAAATTCGTCGAATTTCCATTTTTAGGTTTAAATTTGAGCCAAATTTTAGTTTGAATCTGGCCTAAAAAATTTTTTATACGTTTTATTCTTCGAGATAAATTCTGATTTTGTATTTCGAAAAATGTCGGTCAACTTTGACTCATATTATCACGGCTCTTATCAGAGATATCAAAAAGTTGTAAACTAATAAAATGTTTATCAATTTATGATAAGTAATTTATCAGTTGACAACTTTTTGATATCTCATACAGTAACCCAGATAAATTAGCTCAAAGTTAGTACCCAATACACCCCCAATTATTTCTTGCCTCTTCTCGTAAATTGATTTCCTCAAAAAAAAACCTCAACAAAAAATGTTTGGGTGTTTGTGGGAACTAGACTAGATTCGTTAAATGAACGAATCGACCAAAAAAGCAAGCGAGGCGAGAGACGAGAAATAGAGACAGGATGGATTACTGTAGTGCGAATTAAAATGATGAGAAGGAAAAAAAATTATGTGGGAAGTGAGAAATTTGTGGGGGGGGGGGGGGGGGGTTACTGTAGAAAGTAGAACATACCTTTTCATTCTGGTAAGCAGTCACCGCGATGAATTCGGTCTCTCGAAACACGAACGTCCGGAAGGTACTGTACATCAAATTGTGGCGATCCGCACACCGGACCACATGAAGACGTGGTTGGTATTTGTGCATTGAGTTTAGTATCGTCTGAAAAAGAGATTTTTGAATTTTAGAAATCCCTTTTCATAACTTTTGGGGTTAGAAATTTCATATTTTCTCTTCTGCGAAACGATTCAAATTTCATCCCAAGCAGAAGAAGATTTAGAATGAGAGAATTCAGAATTTGGAATTCGAAACCGACAAATCTGTACGAGAAAGCGGCAAATCTGACGCGAAACTCGATCCCTCTCTGCCTATTTTTTCTCCTCTATGCTTCCCAAAAAGAAGACGAAGAAGAAGACGTGGTGGTGGTGGAGGGTCAAGTGTTTGGAGTCAAAAGTCGAAAAACGGAAATCTCGTGGAAGAAATAAATGGAGCAAATATAAATGACGTCTCCTAACATATAATGGGGCATCCTAAAGAGAAGAAGTTTTTGACAAATATTTAAAACTTTTTCGTAGCTTCAAACTTCTGAGCTTAATTATCTCGGTTACTGTAAGAGATATTAAAAATTTGTCAACTGATGAAATGTTTATTACTTTATCACCTACATTTTATTAGTTTACACATTTTTGATATCTTTTATAAGAGCCGAGATATTCGAGCTCGAAATGCAAGTACCAGGGATGCATTATACTATAGAAAATATGATAGATTTTTTAACTCTGATTATCTCGGTTACTGTAACAGCTATCAAAAAGTAGTTAATTACAAAAATGTTTATTATAAAATCACCAATATTTTATCAGTTGACAAATTTTTGATATCTCTTATAGGAACCGAGATAATTAAGCTTAAAGTGAAAAGACGGTTTTTTGGCTTTTCGGAATCAAAAGAACCCTAACAAGTCGGTTACTTGGCTATTCGCTCAAAATAAAAAGTTTCAAAAAAATGTTCTGAATCTCCTTAAAATTTTACAAATTTCTGTCCAAAAACGAGTTTTCTAGAACCACTGAGAGCTGTTATATAAGCTAAGAAAGTTTTGAAAGACGCAGACAACTAGAGTGTCTCGTTGTCTGCGTCTCTATCTTCAAAGTTCCGATATCTCAGCTTCCAGTGATCCTAGAAGGATCGTTTTTTTTTTCATATTCTCAAAAGATTCTTGGACCATTATCATTTTTCCTTGGGCAAGATGCCCTTGCCCATATCTTGCCCAAACGACTTGTCCAACTTTCCCCCAAAGTCTGTCTAGCTGATTCCCAATTCGTTCTTCTCCTCTTCTAGTTTATTCTTTTCATACCGCGAAATTTGACTCTTTTTTTTATTTTCACAAAAGAGGATTCACTTTTTGTTTGGCCCGCATATGAAATGATTGGTAACGGATTACGGTAGGTATCTCATCCATTTCAAAAGGGGATTTGAGTGTGTGGAAAAGTCATAAAACTTTCGAGTAATAATAATAATCCCAGGTCGTAAAACTTACATATCCGTGCTTATCCGATATGTTATTCGTGAGTTTCAGTTTGTGAAAGTTGGCGCCTTTTGACATCCAGTGCTCACCTGGAATGAGGAAAACAGTTTTGTGTTTTCTTGCATAACTCAGCTCAAAATTAGAATTTCTGTTTGATTTTAAAAGAAGAATATAGAACTTTAAAAAATCTACAAAATGATATACAACTCAATTGTGATAAAGTACCATGCTTCAGAGCAGAAGCCGTCAAAAAGGGTGTCAGAGAGGGTCAACCGGCGAAACAGCCCCTGCTTACTTTAGGGGCTTCTGGTCCAAAGCTTACTGTTTACATATAGCTGGATTTAATATCGTTTTATAGATTTTTTCAAGTTCTGAGCCAAGTTGTGGTCTTTTGAAGTAAACTGGGTTGGCAATATGTACTGGCAAAACAACCCTTGATTCCTTTAGGGGCTTCTGGTTCAAAATCCAGCGTTTGCAAATATATGATTTATATATCATTTCGTAGATCTTTTCAAATCCTACATTTCACTGTTTAAATGAAAAAAAAATTATGAGTTTGAGCCAAGTTATGGTCTTTCAAACTTTCTTCCAGAAATTAGACCTACCTGTCGATGGAGAATCCGGGTGGATATAGAGCGTTTTTGGCATTTCAGGATCCGCTTTTCCAGCAATCATCCATCGACTATTGTTGAATTTATAGCGATGCTCATCGGCTGGCACCAAATCCATCATCACAAAATATTGGCTCTTCTTGTCGAGACCACTCAACTTCACCCGATACGCAGGGAATATTCGTCTGGAAATATTTTGAACTTGATTTTCAGAAATTCTCTTTTTATGGCTTTAGTTTCAACCCTTATGGTTCTAGAAATTTGATACCCGTTTTTGAATATAAATTGTATGAGTTAACCCAAATGCAAATAATGAAAGAGAGATGACTTTAGAGGGAACCTAGAATTTGACTCCATTCATTTAAAGGCTCATAACTCGGCTCAAACTTAGAATTTCTTTTTGAATTAAAAAGTAAAATTTAAAGCTTTAAAAGATCTTTTAAACAATATTTAATTCGACCAAATTCAAAACCGAGTTTCGGACCAGAAGCCTCTAAATGAGGTGGGTCCATTTTATCGACTTTGCTGTTTGAACAACTTGTGGCTCAAAGCTTGGCATTTAAACATAGTTAAGTTTAATATCATTTTGTAAATCTTTTCAAGCACTATATTGTACAATTTAATTCAAAAAGATATCTCAAGATTGAGCCGAGTTATGAGCCCCGGCGCGTTGGACACCATCCCTTGAAATCAAAGCAATTTAGCCGACAATTGTCACACTTTTTTCTTCGTCTTCTTCCCATTCCATTTCGTCAAAAAGTGAAGAAAAAGAGAGCGAAACACAGCAAGTGATAAACATTTTCACGCCTTTTTGTCTCTCGCTTGCTCTGCCTCCTGCTGCTTTTTGCTCCCAGGGTATACTGTAGGAAATTGAATTTCGGGTGTCTTTTGTCTCGCCGATGGTGTGAAATTTGACAATTTTTCGAATTTTCTTAAAGGGAAGCTGAGGGATGGAGGAGATAGGAGTACTGTAGCTATTGCTGAGAGCTTAAAATTTAGGAAAATGAGAAGATGGTAATTTAGGAAATTTTTGAAAATAAATAAAGTTGAGAAGATTAGCTTTTCCTAATTTTGAATTTCCAATTTTTTGAACTTTTGAAATGCCTTTTTTTAAATTTAACTTAAAATCATGAAAATTGAAATTGGGAGCCAAATTGAGCTAAAAATCACAAATTTTGGAATTCCGGGGATATGAAAATCTTTTAAAAAAATCTCGAAATGTTTGATTTGACGAAATTTAAGATTTTAAAGATTTTATAATTGATTAACGTTTCTAAAACCAATTTAGATGAGAAGATTAGTAATCCATTGATATAGAAATTTTAGAAAATTGGTGAAAAATTCAATTTTTTGAAAAAAAATACTAAATTATGGAATTTTTAAAACCAATTTATAAAAATCTAATTTTAAAATTTAGAGTTTTTGAAAAAAATGTCAAGATTCAAGGGATTTTGATTCCAAGGGTTTTACAGTCATTTTAAAGAAAAATATCAATTTTTATAGAAATTTATGAATTTAAGCTTTTTAAGAGCTTCTGGAATTTTCAGAGAATTTTAAAACGTTCCAGGTTTCATTAAATGGGAAAAATAGGATATTCAAATGCAGGGAAATTTATAAATGTCCCAGAAGAAAAACTTCAACGAATCTAATAAGTTTCAGAAGGAAGAATTTCAGAATTTGAAGAAAAATAGACATTTCGAAGATCTAGATTCTTAAGGATTATATGAATTTAAGCTTAAAGAGATCTGATGAATTTCAGAACTTGAAAAATAGAATTTCAGATTTCAGGAAAAGCCAAAAATGAGGAGCGAAAATAGGAAAAGTGCCAGAAAGTCTAAATGAGAGAGGAACGGGAAAAGAAAAATGATAAGAGAGACAATTCATTTTTTTGGAAATTCGAATTTTTCTGTTTCAAACAATCCTCCCACCCCTACCTTCCACTTTTAGTGATAACCATTTCAGTTCCACAATGCGAGAACTTTTGCCACAGTTCCCGATCATCCAACTCGACTTTCGGATCATCCACAACCCCATCATCCTCAGGTGGTGATCCAATTGGTCCAGGTGGAAACCCGGCTTGGAGCATTGAGAAGAATAAGTTTGGTGGTGGACCACCGGCCGGTCCTGGTGCTCCAACTCCAGCACCCATAAATGGTAGAAGAAGATCAGGACGAGCCAGCGAGAACGGATTGAATGCCATGGTTAGAAGAAAAAGAAGGAGATTATGATAAATAAATGGTTAATTTTGACTTTTGGGCGGCGGGGCAAATGACCCTTTTCTCCAGATGCTTTGGGAGAGAGAAAGGCCGTTGTCAAAGTGAAAGAAGTCACGCCGTAGTCGTCCGTTTTGCCGCTCTATGGCTCGGCCCCGCCCATTTTCCACCGATTGGTCGATGGACAATCTACCACTAGGGGGCGGGGCTTATTGGGGGGAAGAGGGGTGGGAAGCAAAAGAGACCCTTTAACACCCGTGGGTGTGGCTGATGACACGTGAGGGCTCCTGTGGAATTTCGGTATATGGGAATCATGGTCATGGGTCCATCTTGGTTATGGTAATTTAGCGCTTTTAAATTCTTGATTGAGATGACTGTAACTTTGAGCCAATTTTTCTGGGTTGCTGTAAGAGATATCAGAAATCTGTCAACTGATAAAATATTGGGGATTTTATGATAAACATTTTATCAGTTGACCACTTTTTGATATCTTTTACAGGAGCCGAGATAATTAGGCTCAAAGTTAATTATGGTAAGTTTTGAGTGACAGATTTTCGAGAACTTTTTTTGACTCGTTTTTTGACTTTGAAATTTTTTCGACTGTTTTTTGAGAATTCCTTAAATTGCTGAAAATTTCTGAAACTTGAAATTGATTTTTTTCAAAATGTTTCAAAAAAAATTTTTTTTGTATTTTCGATTATTTTGCATTGTCGACAAAAAAACGGAATACGACCAAGTTTCAAGACACTCTGAATCTCCAAAAACCTTTTCATGAAACTACTATGCGCCTTTAATACCGTAGCTAAAAGTTTCGCTAATTTAGTCGTTTTTTTGCTGATTTCGCACCGTTTTCGGCGATTTTTAACTTGAATCTTTGAGAAAAAAAATCAATTTTTTTGAAGAAAATCGACAAATTTTCGACAGTTTTTCGCACTTATTTTTTCTAGGATCTGCTAAAAATCAATTAAAATCTTCTGAGAAACAAAAAATCGGCGAAAAGGGGGAAAATAGGCAACAATTTAACATTTTTTGAATTTTAGCTACTACGGTATTAAAGGCGCATAGCTCGATTCGCACAAAACGAAAAAAAGAAGAAGAAATTGAGAACTTTCTCCATAGAAACCGAAGTGCGGCGATCGTAAAAAAGCGAGCTTTCTTTCTCTTTTTTTCGCCGAAAATTTCAAAAAAAGTGTCAATTATCATAAAAACCCTAGGTCCCTTGTCCCAATCCCATTAGTTGTCCAACATCGTAAACACAAGTGAAAAATGTGATGCTCCTCACCGCCGTTATCACTCATTTGGAAACTCAAAACTGCCACCTCTTTTACACGGTGGTTCACACCATTTTATGCAAATCACTGATAACGACCGGTCGGTTTGTGTGAAGACGAAAATTTGAAATTGTATGTAGAACAATATTTAATCAACAAACAAATTGTGTTAACAGTTTTAACAAAATGTGTCAAAAATTTAAAAAACAAAGGGAAACGGAAAAAAAAGAGTAAAAAAATTATTCGTGCTCCTGCTCCTCGACAGTTCCCAGCTCCCGAATCGACGATAGCTCCGGATCGACGTCCATTTCCGATTCATAGCGAATCAGAATTCCAATGAGAGCGTGAAGAGTGTGCTCTTGTTGTGAGCTCAACAGTTTTCTCTCCTTCTTCGATTCAGCCTCCTCAGTCGCCTTGTCCAATTCTCGCATCGCTGGGTAGACACCTTTGGAACGGAGCACTTGACGACCGTGTTTTGTAGCGCATAGCTGGAAATTTCAGATTTTTGGAATTGAGGAGCTACTACAAATTCTAACGTCTTCTCACGCAAAAAGCTGGCAATTTAAGATTTTTGAAAATTTCTAAAAAATTCAAAAACATCTTCTCAATTAACATCTCTTCTACTACAAATTAGTCTCTTCCTCCCCCATTTCAATACGTCTTTCATTTCCGCTTGATTGCTCAAATTAACAGCATCGATTACCATCTCTCTCGAGATTACAAAACAACTTGTCTCTTCTGGCTTCTCTTTTTTGATTTGTTTCGTAAAAAAAACCAAATCAAGCGTCAATAATTTTGGCGCCCGCTCCCCTTCTTTTAGCGCCTATCTATAGACGATCCAATTCAGAATGGAATACGGTCGAGGGGGGGACGTTATTCGGAAATCAAAAGCTCTCAACTACCGTAACCCAAAAATAATTTTTTTCGGGTTTTTAAAATCTCGATTTTCGGGCGTTTTTCAGTATTTTTTTTTCGCTATAAAAATTTTATTTTTCCGACTTTCTTTTTGGCGAAAATGATCCAAAAATGGACTAAAATCAGTCTCCTGTTTTTTTTCCTCAAAAAATTGGAAAATATGAATACTTTTAGGTTACTGTAGTTTTCGTTGTGGGACCTTCGGCCACGGCCATCGGCGTTTCTCGATTTTCTTGCTCATTCAGTCCATTTTCAGCCGATTTTCTTGGCAAAAAATCAGTATTCTGCGATATTTCCTTCTAAAAATTCGGAAAATTCAAATTTTTGATAGTGAAAAATGTCGAAAAACGCAGGACAACCAAAGTAAGAAATCCGTAAAACCAGCTTTTTTAGGTTACTGTAGTTTTCGTTGTGGGGCCTACGGCCGCTCGATTTCCGCGCGTTTTCAGTCAGTTTCCGGTCAATTCTAGCCGATTTTTTTGACAAAAAAATGACCCAAAAATCGACTGAAGTCAGTTTTTTTTTGTAAGTTTTCCATTTAAAAACCCGGAAAATACAATTTTCTAATGGTGAAAAATGCCAAAGAACGCAGGAAAATCGCGAAGGAAAATCGACTAAAAAATCGCAAAATTTCTAGGTTACTGTAATTGTCGTTGTGCGACCTCTCTTATACACTAAAATCCCACCTGAAAAAGTGCCTCAATCAACTTTTGTCGCACAATATCACTCGCGTCTCTCTCCTTCTCGTAATACTGAAGCCGCACTGGAAGCTTGCCCATCTCCTCGTCATCCAAATTATCATTCACGTCCATCAGCGGAGCCAGAATCGCGCACAGATACTCGTCCGACGCATCCAGCAATGATCCATGAAGTCCTGCAAAAATATGAGCAATGAGGTCACTATCTATACTCATCTTTGTTCAATTTTTCTTGTTGTTACTAGCTACTAGTATGCCCCTCCTCATAATAAAAACGCGCGCGCGCCTGTTCAAGTGTACTGCCACCAAAAATTGAGGATGTCGTCGCCCATATGGCCCCAGAATATGTGTGTTATTGGAGTATCTGTTGCCACAATTTGAGGAGTCAAATTTGGAGATTTTTCAAAAATTTTCGAAAATCGGAATTGAGGGTTTAGGGGAGTAGGGGTGTTCAAAAATTCAAATTTTTTCTGAATTTTGGAATTTTTTTGAGATTCCAAAAATTCCGAAAATTCAACTGATCCAAAAAAACCCAGTTTCCGATTTTTGATCTTAATTCAAGTTTAAGCCTACCTAGGCTCTACTTAGTAGAAGTTCTAGGGTTAAAAAACCAAGCCTAAAAATTCAGATACCGCCTCAAAACAACTACTACCGTACTCCCTAATAATCCCTTGGGAACCCTCCCAAAACTTGGCGCCAAATCACTTGTTAATTTTACGACGAGTAACAGAGAAAGAGTTTAGCGAAGAAAATTGGGTCCCAAACTTGTTGTTTCACGAGTCTATTAACAGGAGAAGACAGAGGAAGAAGAGTCTCCGGGGAGTGGTGGCGAAAACACAAATTGGAGTCAAATTGCTCCTTAATTTCGTGAGGAGGAAGCGAAGAGAGCTTGAACATTCTGGGAATGGGATATTGGGGTTACTGTAGAATGAGGGAAGTGTCTTGAATTCACAAAAAAATCGGCTGAAAATCGCATTTTTAGAGCCAAAAATGGTTCATAAAATTCCCAGATTTTTTTAAACATTTCCAGCCATTTTTTAGAGAGTTTTGAGTCAATTTTGGAGCTCGATTTGAGGTCAATAGACAAATAGGTTTGGATTACTGTAGACGAAAGGTGTCTGGAAATTTTCAGAGCTCGATTTCAGGTTCACGGCTCAGACCAAATAGTCAATTTTTTTCAAAATTCAGCGATCCGGCTACCGTAACCTGGGTCCCAAAATCTGACCTAGATCAGTCAGCTGCCGCTTTGACGGTCTAGATTCTAGGTTCCAGGTTCCAGGTTCCAGGTTCCAGGTTCCAGGCTCCAGGCTCCAGGCTCCAGGCTCCAGGCTTCTGGCTTCAGGCATCAGGTTCTATAATCCAGGTTCTAGGTTCTAGGCTCCAAGCTCTAGGTTCAAGGTTTCAGGATTCATTTTCCAGGTTCCAAGCTCTATGCTCCAAGCTCCAGGCTCCAGGATCTTATGATTATTAAGGCTCCTAGGATCCTTAATTGAAGCCTTATTCCAAAGAAGGAGCTCCAGATTAGGACAGCCCGTGCTTGTTACCAAATTTCTGATCTTCAATATTTACCTTGTCACCAAACCAGCACCACAAGTAGGTAAGTGTAACTCGATGAGACAGAGAGAAGTGTGTGTTAACTGTCATCCGATCTCTCTCAATAGGGTTAATCCTTCCTCCTACCTAGAAGGCAAGTGGACCACTAGCCCCCTGTGTGTTTGAGCAATTGCGCCACATAGGACAAGTATAAACAGTTTCGGTTAGCAGTTTCCAAGCTCAAGAATTCGACTCCAGAGCACTTCCAAAAGAAGAGCATTGGGGGGTCACTAAGACAATTGAGTTGTTTCCTTGTGTGTGTCATGAATAATTCGATAACAATAAAATGCTCTCTTTTGTGAGTGAGGGTGGACACATACTCATCCTCTTCCTTTTCCCGCGCAACATGTTGTGCGAATTCTCAAATATCAATTGAGCTGCTGGAGGAACGGCGGAGAAACTCGGTGATTAACCACTCATAACAATAACAAAAAACATTAATTTGCGAATGTCTGGGAGTGGGGAGGGACTACGGTAATTCCTAGTAATTCGAGATAGACGGAGCTACACTCGGTAATTAAAAGTTCTCTGTTTCTTCCAAATGATCTTCTTCTTCTCTTCCGCTCAATTCACTTTAAAACAACAAAGGGACCGTTTATCGCTCGTTAAAAGTAGGAAGGGGATTTCGTGTCTATACCTACCAGAGAGCACTTTTCATTAAAAAATCTGAACTTCTGATTCTGAAGTCAGGAGTTTGGAGGCAAGAAATCTGAAGTCAAGATTCTGAACTTTAGGAATCTGAAGTCAGGAATCTGAAGTCCGGATTCAGAAGGCGGGATTCGGAAGTCAAGAATCTGATGTCAGGAATCAGTAGTTAAGAACTTGAAGTCAATAATCTGACCTTTAGATTTTGAAGTTAGGAATTCTGAGATCAGGATTCTGAGGTCAGGACTGTAAACTTCAGGTTTTGAAGTCAAGAATCTGGAATCAGGAATCTGAAGTCAGGAATTCAAAGTCAGGTCTCTGAGCTTCAGATTCTGGATCCAGGAATCTGAAGTGAAGAATCTGAAGTCAGGAGTCTAAACTTCAAATTCTGAAGTCAGGAATCTGAAGTCAGGATTTGAATTCAGTATTCTGAAGTTAGGAATTTGAAGTCAGTCTTCTGAAGTCAGGAATTTTAAGTCAAGAATCTGAAGCTAGGAGTCTGAAGCTAGGAGTCTGAAGTCAGGCTTCTGAAGTCAGGGCTGTAAACTTCAGATTCTGAAGTCAAGAACATGAAGTCGAGAATCTGAAGTCGAGACACTGAAGTCTGGAATTTGGACTCCAAAAATCTGAACTTGACATTCTGAAGTAAAGGTTCTCAAGTCAGGTCTCTGAGCTTCAGGATTCTGAAATCCGTATTCTGAAGTCATGAGTGTGAAGTCAGGGCTCTAAACTTCATATTTTGAAACCTGGGAATCTGAACTCAAGAAGCTGAAGTCAGGAATCTGAAGTCACGATTCTGAAGAGCCTGGGCACTCGAAAGTATTGGAACCTTCAAGAATTACACTCTCCCCATTCCCATCATTATCATTGGTCCGAGAGTACATCAGTCGAGCGACAGGTACATATGTTAACTAGTGTGATAGTCATCACATCAAATCAGAGCCGACGACCTGTTCCCAAAGACTCCGACACCTGTCTTCCCTAGGTGTCCCCCCGCAGAGAGTCATATATCTTCTAAGCGCGGTTTGGAAGAAGAAGGGGAGCTTCTTCTTGAGAGCGGCATTTAGTGAAAGCGGTGTTAATCGAGACAAGATAAGTGACGACGAGGGAGAACCGATACCCCATATCACATATCACTACACGAGAAATGATTGTCACATTCGAAGATATTTGAGGGAAAACAAGTGCTCCGAGGCTATCTTCTTTTTCTTGTTCCTCTTCTGATGGGGAAAAAAGTGGCAACACATTTTGCGGTAAAACAATTGGAATGGGGAGGGAGGAGGGGAGACGTGAGTAGTTGATTTCTTTCACTGTATTTCCTACAGTATACGGTATTCGCGATTTGAAGTGTTCTGGGATTTTGAGATTACTGTAGCATGTGTATTGAATTCACCAAAAAAATAGGCTGAAAATCACATTTTCAGCATCAAGAATTTTCAGAAGGGTTACTGTATTTGCGACATTTCGCGACTTGAGATTTATCAGTCCATAAGTCTTTTGGGAGTCTATTGCGAATGCATTAAATACAGTAACCTCAAAAATACCGTAAATGCTCTGCCAATCCTATACGGGCTCTTTGAGCTCAATTATCTCGGCTCCGTTGAGAGATATCAAAAATCTGCCAACTGATAAAATGT